CCCGAACCCGCCAACGCCAAGGCCCCGCCCTGGGCGGCATGGCCATGCCCCCATAGGCTTTCTCCAATTAGCCCGCAAGCATCTCTCTCTGCCCTGGGTCAGCCCACCAAGCACCATGTAAGTTATGAGTTCCTGGACCGTGTGTCCTCTTTGCAGATAAATAGGAAGATGCCTCCCACCTCTAGGCTCTCTCCACCTCCACCATCCCATGTTTTTGTGGTCTTAGAAGACACAGGTGCAGGGGGACGCTAGGAAGGAAACTGCCAACTATCGTGACCTGTTCTTGCAACCATCATCATGTCAGGGACTTTCCAAGTGTTGTCTTATTTCACCTTCCCAGCGTCCCTGCGAGGCAAGCACTGTTATCTGTTTTCTGATGAGAACACTGACAGTGAAGGTTACCTAGCTTGTAAGTATCAGAATTCAGAGTCTGACCCCCTCCCGAGCTCACTCTGTTCCTGCCACAGACACCGCCCAAGCATCAGGTCCCCCTTCCACACCCCTGAGCCGCCGGCAGCCCAGGGCCCATCTGAAACCAGAAGACAATATGTTTGGACCTGGATGCTTCCCTGGCCGTCTCTTGGTTCCCCTCTGACTGTGGGGGACTCTCTTTGCCTCACCTCTGCGGGAGGTTAGCGCTCCCTTCCCTGTGGCCCCACACCTCCTCCCAGATCTGGAAGGCCTTCCTGGGAGCTCTACAAGCAATAGTCTGGGACTCCACCAACTTGCCTCCCTGTAGACCCACACGGAGAGGCCAGACATGGCTCCCAAGGGGACCAAGCTTCCTGGGTGCCAGGCCAGGTGCCCTGCCATCTGTATTGAAGAGAGAGTTTTGGAGGCAGACTCCAAGGTGAAGCCCTGCTGGGCCTGAGGCAGTGTCCTGAAGACTCCTATTCATGCCCTCTCTGGAGAATCCATTCTTTTCCTCCAAGTCTCCCCTCCAGAGCCTCTCCTCCATGCTTGATCCTGGGGAGAAGTGAGAGCAGGATGGCCGGGATGTTACCACCACTCAGACCCTGACTCTTGTTCTCAGAATCACGCGGAAGCCCTCAGGTGGCAGGTGGTGAGTTCCACGGGAACCGTCTCTGTTCCGCTGAGCCCAGACCTCCACCCTGCCTCTCTCTGATTTTCAAGCCAGCGGGGAGAGCAAATGACACAGGCAAAGACACAGAGAACGTTAAAGCCCATTGTGTGTCTCGGAACCCCTGGGTTCTGGGTAGCGCTTGGAGGACCCAGAGTGAGGTGGCTGGTGTGGCTGAAGTTACTAAGATCAGAAAGTGAAGGACCAGGCCGGGAGTCAGGGACTTGGCCTGGACAGTGGCCAGAGCCGTTGAAGGTTTTAGGAGCAAGCAACCAGTCCCCAGATCAGGTATGTGTCCGTGACAGCCACCTGGCTGTGCAAGGAAGTCAGATCTCACAGAGGAAGACTGAGGATAGTGTGACAGAGAGGACACAGATGCGCTTATCACCTCCTCTGACGCCGGAGCGGGGCACGGATTCAGAAGACACCTGGGAGCCAACACCGATGGTCCCTGTGTTTATTACACTCGGTAGGGAAGGGAAAGGAAACGGAGATGCTTGCAAGATTCCTAGCTGGGTGCATGGTGATTCCACTCACCTTGAAAGAGGATCTGGGAGGATAATCAGGTTGGGGGTGGAAGGAGAGAAAATTAAGAGTTCATTTTCAGTCGTGGTGAAATTTGAGGTGCCTGAGGGACATGCGTGGGGAAGTCGAGGTGTCCAGTAGCAGTTGGATATATGGATATGGAGCTCAGGAGAGAGGTCTGAGCCAACAATATAGATTTGGAAAGCATCCGTAATGGAGGCCTTGGGAATCCTCTTGCAAATCAAGTGCTCACCACCTCATCTGTGTTTTGGAAATCCAGATTTTTGTTCATCAGTTTTGTCTTAAGCAAGAAAAGGGAGCTACACCCCATGTAAGCCCCAGGGCACAGTGACTGCTGAGTTTTCTGACCCTCAAACTCCTTCACTGCCTCCCTGGGTGCTGGAGGCATAGGATATAGTGTGTACTGTGTGGGGAAGACCCACAGGGACCCAACACTCCCCAGCCACTTGCCCCTAACCCGTGAGGATGAGCCCAGTCTGGATTTCAGAAGCTCGTAGCTGGGTTAGAAGGGCTCAGACATGGTCTCCACACCCCTAACTATCCATCTCTTTGATGTGTCTTCATGTCAAGATGATAATGCTTGCTAATAATGTTGTTAAGTCTCCTGTCTCCAAAGAGCATAAGCTGACTAGAGTCCACTACAGTCCCCGAGGGACCATGCCTCCACCCCAGATCCTTGAAGGTCACTGCAGTGAATTCCCAGCAGGAGGACACTGCCCCATGGACCTGCCAACACCACTGAATAGCCACAATACCATCCCCACGTGCTACCTGCAAGACCGAAATATTTTTAGGTTTTCCAGAAAGATTTCATTTCACAGTGTTTCTGAAAGGTTGTAATTAACCGCCGTGAGCAAGAGAATGTATTTTTAAAAATACAAGTGGGGGAAAGAGAGCAAGCTGATCATCACGGTTCTGTCAGGGTTTTCAGTAGGTTTCTGGCATCCAGGTGGCTGAAGGAGAGGAAGGCGGACCAGCGATGCTCATTCCAAGCGATTGGGGGAGAGCGCCTGCTCAGATTTGCTCAGTGGTACTTGCTTCCTCCTGACACTCTCCCGCAGGGTCATGGAGGCCACACTTCCCTGTTCCTCCTTACAAGTGTCCATCTCCCAGAGCCCAGGAGGCCCAGGGACCTGCAGAAGTGGCACCAGGGGAGGGCGGAACAACCGAGATCTCGTGTTGATTATTTTTAGAATCCCCAGAGACAGGAAAGCCATGGATCTACAGGTTCCTCCTGCCAGCTCCTTCTTTCCAAATCGCCCTGACTCCCGCCACCTCCAACCCCACACCCAGTGCCCAGAGATGCCTCTGGGCAGCCCCTTCCCTCCCTCAGGAATTTATCCCACAAATCTTATTTATTTTTATTCATCAGTTCAGTTCAGTCATTCAGTTGTGTCCGACTCTTTGCGACCCCATGGGCTGCAGCACGCCAAGCCTCCCTGTCCATCACCATCTCCTGGAGTTTACCCAAACTCATGTCCATTGAGTCAGTGATGTCATCCAACCATCTCATCCTCTGTCATCCCCTTCTCCTCCCGCCTCCAATCTTTCCCAGCATCAGGGTCTTAGGCCATAAGGTGGGATATTTTATTCCCAGAGAATGGAGTCAGAGCCACAGACAAGGCGACCAGGGCAAAATGAGCCCCGAGATGAGAGAGTGCCCAGCCTGGGCCAGGGGGAAGGCCGGAGGCTTCGCCATCTAGGGTCTGCTGAAGAGCGTGGGAGTCTGACCTGGCTGCACAGCCTGCGTGCAGGAGCCCAGGAGTCAGCGGGCAGTGAGGAGGAGGCCTGGCCCTAGGCCTCTTCCCTGCACCATCATCTCCTCCCTGCTGCTCTCACCTGGGCGCTCACGGCCAAGCTGGAGGCCTCACGCATGGTGCTCACATCGCTAACAGAGAGCAGGGCCCCCTTGAGAAAGACAGGCGGGAGGAAGAGTCTCCAGAGCCTTGGATACCTTTTTCACCTGCGCTCACCGCTCATCACTGCCCAGAGCCCATCTGGAGGTTTCTAGTGGACTTTTGGCTTTGTCCCGCCCTCCTTGCCTCTCTCCCTCCCTTACTGTCTTGTCTTTCTAAATGTGCAGTGAAAAAAAAGCCCTGAACATTTTTTTTCATTTGATCCACATATACAGGTTGTATGATCTTACAATAAGACATCCTGACTCTCCTTCCAGTTCTGAAATTCTGTGCTTCTTGCCTGGGTTTGTGTCTAGCTTCCTCCTGCTTTGGATAACTATGGACCTTGGAGTGGGAACTTTGGGATCTGTTGGATCCCAAAGAGCTGCATTTTTCCGGGAGCTTGATTCATTCTCAGATAGAAATTTACATGTGAGGAGAGCCTGATTCTGCAGGTTCCTTTTCCTGTTGCATCAAAGTAAAATCAAACAGTCAGCATTTGGTGACTGAATTAAGAAATGAGTAAATGATCCTGACTACTGGGGAGCCAGCAAAATTTGGAAAATCAGAAAGCTATTTCTCTTTGATACTAGCACCAACAAGTTACAGGATTTTTCTTTTTTGTGTGTGTGGAATAATGTCAAATATACTTTCCATCTTTGATCATCCCCTGCAACGGCCCCTAATCAGGGACTCCTCAGATCTTCCACGGCTTTTACTTCAAATCTACCTTATCACTGTGTACCCTGCATCAGCGTTACTTATGGCCTCCTTATCTCCTCCTCCTTGACCGCTAAGTTCCTCAAGGGCAAATTCCCTGCTCTGTTCACTGTTGTAAACTCAACAGAGGCTAGCACACAGGCTAGTATGTCACAGTTCAGTTCAGTCCAGTCCCTCAGTCGTGGCTGACTGTCTGCAACCCCATGGACTGCAGCACGCCAGGCCTCCCTGTCCATCACCAACTCCTGGGACCTGCTCAAGCTCATGTCCATCGAGTCACTGATGCCATCCAAATGCCATCCTCTGTCGTCAGAGAGTCCTTGGGAGTTGACAGAATGTTCCCGGACACCCTCCATGTGGGAGCTTCCAGGGTGAGGTTGGTTAGAGAGGATTATCCTCCTTTCCAACTAAAGAGAACTGAGGTTCAGGGAGATTCTGAGATTTGATTACAGTCAGGCAACTAGTGAATTTAATCACTGCCTTGAGCAGAAATTACTTCCTCGTAATTTCGTTTTCAAAAGTGGACCAATGAATGAAGGCATCACTGGGTGGATGTCCTGAAGAACCAATGCAGTAGGTACAACTTCATTGTTGGGATGATGAAATTGGGATCCTAGACAAGTTGGAAAGTGGTGGAAACAGTTTCCCCCCCAGACTCCAGGTGTCCCAGAGCCTCCCTGCGGGGAGGGAAACGGGTGCCCCTGCCCGTCCTTCCATGACCAACCGGGCTTATTTCTCCTCCCGCTTCCCTCTCGCAGATCCTGACGGTGTCCGGACCTCCTGAAGGGGGCACTCGAGTGACCATCCATGGCGTGAACCTGGGCCTGGACTTCTCGGAGATCGCCCACCACGTGCAGGTGGCGGGGGTGCCCTGCACGCCCCTGCCAGGGGATTACATCATCGCTGAGCAGTGAGTCCAGTCCACTCGGGCCGCCCCGCGGTTGGTCTCCGCCTGCCCACTGGCTGAGCCGCTTTGCCGGCCCACCCGTTCTCCTCCTCGGCCTCCCCCGCCCCTTCTCCTCCGGCCCCCCTGTTGGAAGGCATCCCACTCGGTGGGCTGCGGGCAACAATTTGTTTGGCTTGTGGCGCTCTGACAGCAGCTTAATCTGAACAGGGCCTCCGCTGGAGCAAATTCATTTATTTCACTAAGGGAAATGTCAGCTGGAAATTAGAAAATAGGCATGTAGCGGCGGACGGGCGGACGGGGCTCCCGGAGTGACATATGTTCCCATTTGGGGTGCTCATTTGGCAGTGGCGGCCGCTGTGGAGTCAGTGGACAGGAGGTGGGCAGGACGCTGGGGGGCTTCTGGGGGTGGGAGGGCAGCGGGAGTGATGTTTCCCCCACTAGGGAGAAAGGGAGGGGGCCGCCAGGGTCTCCTGCATGATTTCTCAGGTGGAGCTGGGCCACGTCGCCCTGGGTTCAGCGGGCTCGCAGCTCTGCAGGGGGCACTGGGAGCCTGGCCGTGAGCAGGGCTTGGAAGCGGGGTTCTCCCCTTAAATGCCACCCCTCGCAGCCTCCCTCAAGCCAGCCCTGAGTAACAACCAGAAGAGTGGCGCTGGCAACCATAAAAAAATGACAGGGTGTCTTTCATCGGCACTTAGGCTTTCTCCTCCGTTCTCTCGCTTCTAATCAGTAAGGACTGAGAGGTAGACATTGTTAGCTCCATTTTAAGAGCAAAAGACTCGGAAGTGAAGTGACATTCCCCCAACCCCTTCACCCCCGTTCACTCAGGGCATAAGTGGCTATAGAGAGTTGGAACTCAGGTCTCCTAAGTTTTGGTTCAGGCCTCTTGCTGTTCCCTAACAGTCAAGGGAGACTCCCGGGTAAGACTGGCCTGAAAAATCCCATGATCCGTCAGCGTGTGGTTTTCCGGCTCAGAGGCTGTGATTCCAGGATGGCCAGGGCAGGGTCAGAGTTGGGGGGTGAGTTCCGCAACTCTGGAGACCCCTGGCAGGGGAAGGAGAAGCCACCTGATCCTTCGGACCTTCAGATCCTGCAGACCACCCCTTCACTGTCAGCCTTGGCCCTTCAAGGAGTGAATCGTGGAGGAGAGACTGGCCAGGTCTACAGGAAAGAGATGAAGAAGAGGCAAATGGGGAAATAGTATAAGTAGCGATTCTGAGCCGGGGGTGGGGGGAAGCTGGCAGGCAGGAACCAGGAGCCTGCCGAGGTCCTCATGGTCGGACGGTCTCTAAAGAGCCCAGCGCCTGGCCAGACCCAGCTAGACACTCAGTCACACTGAGCCCAAATCCGCCTCAGCCTCATGGACGTGCCTTAGGCCTTTGGACGCAGGCCGAGTCTCCAGCTTGGTGAGATGCCACAGTACTGCAAAGGAAAGGGTTTGCGGGAGGCGAAAGGGTAAGGCTTTGAACGGAGAGGTGCTGGCTCTTGGGCAGCTGAACATGGAAATAGCCTGAGATCTGGGATTCAAAAGTCTTCTAAGTCCCGCCATCTACTCCGGGCAGCCCTGAGACCCACTGCTCCATCTCTCCAATCTTCATTGGCCTAATGGAAACCACGATTCCTACCGCGTGGGTTTGGGGGGAGAATTCAGTAAGATGAAAACGAGGAGACCATAACGTGCCATGGGAACATCAGGAAAGATTGTTCCATCTTTGAAATCAAATGCATCACACTCACCCAGGTCTCCAGGAAAGAAAGTTCCCCCAAAAAACTGAAAGTGAGGGTATGAAAGGAGCCTGGGAAGGTGAATGGTTGCCGGGGGTCCCTGCCAAGGCCAGCAGTCACCCTAGAAAACGACCCTCATCGTCTCCTTGGGCGCGGGGCAGGCAGGAGGCGGCAGGCACGTTCCGCACCTCGGCTGCAGGCAGCCCTGGCTCCCAGCCGTGCCAGGCTCATTACTGCTCTCGAGGTTTCAGAGTTTGTTAACGTCATTAAAGCCTCCATCCCGGGCAGCGAGCAGCAGGCACAATCATTACAGACGTCTGCGAGAGATGAATTTGGCTAAATAGGCCCAGTGCAGAGTCCCAGGCACGGGCAGGATTAGCGGGCACGGTAATGACTCACCATATGCTGGTGCCACGCCATCTATCACTCAGCAATTAGGTTAATGTTGGTTAAAGGGTCCCGCTTAGTCCTGCAATCAGCGCCCCACAGGTCTGGGGAGGGCAGGATGACTCCATCACAGGACGTTTCCTGGGTGATGAGAGGCAGGTTGAGGCTGCAGCTCAGCCCTGCCTGAAACAGGGGCTCTGTATGAGACAGACTCAGCTGAGGTCCTCAGACCCGCCCCCCATCTCTCTCATCCACTGTACCTACGAGCTCAGCCATGCCTTGATGGATGTTAGATTGTTTGTGCTCCCCACCCCAAGGATGCACGCTCACAGGGAGAAAAGCACCATCCATGCCAGTCTGCAGGAGGCGGTGCAGGCTGGGCCGAGGGCACTGGGCCGGGTGCCAGGAGCTCAGCTACTGATGAGCTCTGTGACTTTGGGCAAGTCCCTTGGCTCCATGATCCTCAAATGTCTCACCGGGAAAGTGGGTCTGTGGAAACAGATCTCTGCAATCACTTTTACGGCCCCTAGGATGTCAGAAACGATCACCACTAAGCCTCATGGGATCTACAACTCCCATCATTAGAAAGCGTTATCAGTGGCACTAATGTGAATCCAGAAGCCTGCTGTCTACCAGGAGGAGTCAAGCCATCAAATGTTGAAGCTAACTGTTAAAAGGTTATTTAGTCTAATTTCTCATTTTACAAGGGGAAACTAAACATCCCCAGCTCCTGCCTTCTGGTAATACACAGGGAGACTGAAGCTATCAGGGATGCTGGGAGGAAGCAGGGAGACAGGAAGGTAGGAGGCCCCCAGAAGTCTAACCACAGGAACTTTGCTGACCTGTAAGGCCTGAAGGAGGAAGCAGTGCCCACACCACTGCCTGTGGTTATCTCCTGCCAGGAAGCAAGTGGGTGCAGCTGGTTAAGTCTCAAAGCCTTAGGAACCCAGCCAGGTCTTCTCTACCTCGCCATCCTCCACCTCAGCCAGCAACCTCAGCTCCACCCCAGGACAGCCACCATGTCCACCTTGTCCCTTCCACAAAACCCACAGAGAGCATTCCACTGATTTTCGGGTAGTAGAGTGGAGGAGCGTCAAAGGCATGAGCTGTGGAGCCAGGCTGAACCTGGGTTTGAATCACAGCTCTGCCACTTCCCAGCGCTGTGGCCAGAGGTGAGTCACTTAGCACCCCCGAGCCTTGGTTTCCTTGTCTGTAAAAATGCAGACAGTAAGACCCACCCTATAGGATGTCTGAGGCTGACATGAGATCCTGGTACAGTGCCTGCCACATGCAGCTCAGTAAGCTGTAGCTCTTGTTATTATTGAGAGACTCCACTTTGGCTTGACCCTCATAGGTTATTTAGTCTAATTTCTCATTTTACAAGGGGAAACTAAACATCCCCAGCTCCTGCCTTCTGGTAATACACAGGGAGACTGAAGCTATCAGGGATGCTGGGAGGAAGCAGGGAGACAGGAAGGTAGGAGGCCCCCAGAAGTCTAACCACAGGAACTTTGCTGACCTGTAAGGCCTGAAGGAGGAAGCAGTGCCCACACCACTGCCTGTGGTTATCTCCTGCCAGGAAGCAAGTGGGTGCAGCTGGTTAAGTCTCAAAGCCTTAGGAACCCAGCGAGGTCTTCTCTACCTCGCCATCCTCCACCTCAGCCAGCAACCTCAGCTCCACCCCAGGACAGCCACCATGTCCACCTTGTCCCTTCCACAAAACCCACAGAGAGCATTCCACTGATTTTCGGGTAGTAGAGTGGAGGAGCGTCAAAGGCATGAGCTTTGGAGCCAGGCTGAACCTGGGTTTGAATCACAGCTCTGCCACTTCCCAGCTCTGTGGCCAGAGGTGAGTCGCTTAGCACCCCCGAGCCTTGGTTTCCTTGTCTGTAAAAATGCAGACAGTAAGACCCACCCTATAGGATGTCTGAGGCTGACATGAGATCCTGGTACAGTGCCTGCCACATGCAGCTCAGTAAGCTGTAGCTCTTGTTATTATTGAGAGACTCCACTTTGGCTTGACCCTCATCCTCAATATAACCCTCTGCACTCCCGGCAGCTGCCCTCGAGCTCAGGGATCACATGCCAGTAACAGTAACAGATCCACTCAGTCAAGGGGGCCTCTCCATCCTTCGCGGCAAGCACCGGGTCCCGGGAATGACAAGGAAGAAGAGTGACAGGTCGTCAGAGTTCTCTACAACATGGTCTGAGTCCTTAGCACTATCACCCAGTCCTCAGACCTACCAGGCAGACCCTTCTGCAGCCCACTGCCGCCCCCGTCCACTCCAGAGAGGGATGGATGAAGTAGAAGCCCGCTCCACTAGCAGGGGAAGGACTCGGCTGTGGCCCCTCCCTACAGGCCAGTCCCTAGGCCCTCCATCACACCCTTCCAGGAGGGACACTCCGAGCCAGCTGCAGGTGGTCAGCCTTGGGCCCTGGGGCAGCGCCCTCCCCCCTCCGTCCACCTTCTCACAGGCGCTTGACACGCAAAGCTCACCTTTTGGGCCATGAACTCTGAGCAAGAATATGTTCTAGAACAGACAGTGTGCGAAGAGGCCCCAGCCGCATTGTTCACCCCCTACAGGGACAGCTGGACAGGCCATTCTAGGCCTTCTCCTCTCCTAGACAGGTCCCAGGAGGAACACAGACGCTCATGACCTTCACGTGTTCTCACGTTTCCTCTTTCCCAGACTTCGAGCCCTCTATGATTTCCTCCTTCTTCTTCTCAAGGGTGGTTCTAGCACAGTGACCAAGGTGGGGTGAGTGACGGGCAAGTGCCGATGAGAAAGGAAAGAGACTCATCTGCTCCCTCCTCCCCTTGGCTCTCGCCTCCCCCCAACTTCCAGCAGAGAGCAGAGATAATCCGCTGGTGCTGCTGGAGTGTGCAGGGAAGCAGGACAGGATGGCAGGGACCCCAGACAGGAGCAGGCGCTGGGGCCCAGGAAACCCGATAGGAGGGGTGTTACTCCAAGCAGGAAGCAGCGTGAAAATAATGCCATGCAGTACCTTAAATGAAGCTTCTCAAATGCTCCGCTAATGAGGTTTAAGGAGACAGTTACGTGTAAAATGCTAATTGATCATCACTATCATCTTTACTGTGGGTTCATAATTAATTTATTTATTCTTGGCTAAAAGGAGGGGAGAACAGCCTTCGACATGCACCCACTACTCTCTTGTCGAACTTAATATGCTAAACGCAATAGGACAGTTACTGCATGTTAAGTAAATATTCACCAGGAGTGAAAGTACTTATTTGGGATTAACTGTTATGAAGGAGATGGAGATCGGTGGCACGCCGTGTGCGCGAGCACGCCGTGTATTTGTTTAATGCAAGTTTTATTACATCGAAATGAAATCTCTGTTTAGTTACCTTCCTTCCTAGAGAAGCTGTTGAGATAAGCATCGCTCGGTTAAACACGGATCTTCCCCACCGTGCCTGGATAATGCTGAGGATTACTGGATAGGGGTCTGTTTTTCTGGCTCCCCACTAAGCCAGCCTACCAAGGGTACCAGGCTGCTCTGAACTCTTAAATGGCATTGGGAGGAGGGTTTCTCTTTACCGAACCTGGTGGGGCCCTTTCCCACCCACCCCATGCCTTAGAATTCCAGGCAAGAGGCCCCCCCAAAAATCTGATTTCTTCCCTTCCTCCCATATGCTCCAGCTGCTGCCCACTCCTAGAGGCAGCCGTGGCTAAGGCAACCAGTCTGTAAATATGCTTGTTGTGACTTATGTCAGGCACCAGGGAAGCCCCCACCCCACAAGGGGGCATTGATTTTGCACAGCCGCAGAGGGAGTGCCCGCCCCCTCTTCCCTCCAGCTCTCCTGTGAACATGAGACGTGACTTCCAACCCCGGGGCTGGTTGGCCGCCTCGCCCACCAGCTTCCTGCACTCAGCCCTTGATTAAGTGGGAGTCCAGTGTCGACTGCCGTCCTAATGAACTCATCCACCTGCCACCCCATCGCCTGCTGCTGCTGGACGCTGCTGCTCTCACTCAGCCGGGAGCTCCGGCTCGGGGAACTCACTGTCTGGCCAGATTATCTGTCCCCTCGCTGCAAACCACAGGGAGGGAAAAGAACCACACATGAGTCAGCTTGCCCAATCAGTCCTCAGTCCTTCTCCTCGGGGGTGTTGAAGTGTTGGCCTGTCACTGCCCCTGCCTTGCCAACTGCCATGCCCCTCAATCTCTCTGCAGGACATTAGATTTATGCCATGGATATTGGGACAAGACTCAGTGCTAAGCCCTGCATTAGGCACTGGGGACTGCAGGCTTGTTCACAGAAATAGGCAGCATAGCGCTTTGAAGGGACACAACTCTTTAGAGATGAGCTCATCCACACTCTCGCTGTGTGCATGAGACTAAAGCCCAGAGCGGGAGCGTCCTTGACCCAAAGTCACACAGCCACACGGTTGAGCAAGCTGTCTTGGTCCAGCCCTGGTGTAAGACTGTTGAGTTATTCACGGTGACTGTGGTGGGGTGAGCAAACAGGGGCAGGAATGCCAGCCGTCCCCAAATCTCTGATAGGAAGGTTTGCTCTCTCCTCAGGATCGTCTGTGAGATGGGCCATGCCCTCGTGGGAACCACCTCTGGGCCTGTGCGCCTCTGCATCGGCGAGTGTCAGCCGGAGTTCATGACCAAGTCCCACCAACAGTACACCTTTGTGGTGAGTTCTGGGGCTTGTGCTGGGCCATGCTGCTGCTGAGTCGCTTCAGTCGGGCCCGACTCTTCACGACCCTCTGGGCTGTAGCCCACCCGGCTCGCCTGCCTGTAGGATTCTCCAGGCACGAATACTCAAGTGGGTTGCCAGGCCCTGCGCCAGGGGATCTTCCCAACCCAGGTATCGAACCCACGTCTCTTCTGTCTCCTGCATTGGCAGGTCGGGGAGTTCTTTACCACTAGCGCCACCTGGGCAGTTGCTAGGCTACAGGCTCCCAGAAAGTGCACATTTCTGCTCCAGACTTCTCCCAGGAAAGTCCCACCCTCCCCTTCCCAAGCCGGTGCCTCCAGGCTTCTTGTAGGCTAGGTAGGAGACTAGAAAGGGAAAAGCCTATCTTGCCCGGGTGAGTCGAGTTCATGACTAATAATGCTTATTCGGACACTTGGGAGTCCCAGGGAGCCACAGGTCAGGGTTCTGAATAAGCAACATCAGACCTTTCTTAGAAAGTGGATCCTCAGTGCAGGGTAGGGAGGGGCTGCCCTTTGTCCCACCAGTGTGATATCTTTGTCTAATTCCAGCCTAATGAGGACAGATAGCCTGAGGGACCTAATTAAAAGGGTCTATATTTATCGACATGCTTTTTTTCTGCCAGGGATATTGTAAGAGGGAGTTTAGAGGAGCCGTTTGAAATCCCACAGGGACGCGTGTCTGTGTGTGTGACCACAGAGAGGAATGTAAGAGTGAGCTGCTCTGTGTATTGGTGTGTGGCGTGCACACACACACATACACAGCCCTGAAAACACTTCTCACACCCAGGCAACAGGTGGAATCACAAAGGCTTTCTTTAGTCCTACTGAAAACCCTCTTCTGGGGCCCAGAAATCCCTTTTGTGACACTTAACCAACATTGCTTTATCAAGTTCTTCATTAAAAAGTGTTAACACCCTGCAGAGGGGGTCAAACCAGCCTTGCTCAGAGTATTGAAAAATTATTAGATCACAAAACTCTCTTCTGTCTAAAGCATTTTACTGCTGATTTTAGGTTTTCCAGTCTCTACCTTGTTACCTCAGCAACTCCGCCTTATCCTTGTACCAGTCTTCTCTTGGGTTGGAGGGTACCATGGACTTCCCAGGTGGTGCTAGTGGTAAAGAACTGGCCTGCCAGTGCAGAAGATGGAAGAGACGTGGGTTCAGTGCCTTGGTCGGGAAGATCCCCTGAAGAAGGAAATGGCAACCCCCTCCAGTAGTCTTGCCTGGAGAATCCCATGGATGGAGGAGCCTGGTGGGCTACAGTCCACAGGGTCGTAAAGAGTCAGACACGACTGAAGCGACTTATCACACACACACGCATACACACATGCTCGGCATATATCTGCAGCCCACCTCCCCCATCTGAGGGTCTTATGTGAGAAGGAAACTCAGAAAGACTAGATGGAGAGAGAGTGGTAGAGTGACGAGCAGGAAGGGCTTCAGAGACCATATCGCCCTCCTCCTCTCTTAACAGAGTGGCAAGCAAACTGATTGCCAGCCCAGACTGATTCAGAAACTTGCTCCAGGAGTGAGTAGAGCTTGCTCGCATCGCATCGCTAGTGAGTGGCTAGTACAGACTAGAGTTCACGTTGTGTGCTTGTTCAGTTAAATGCAGCTTCCACTCCACCCTGCTGCCCACTAGGCAGAAGCAGTTTCTTGCTGATGCGTTCTAGGTCAGTGACGTTTCTTTTAGGCTTCAGGGTGATTGTTACAATTTAATGAGCTTAGTAGGACATCCCAACCAACCACGGGCCATCCTCCTGGTGAAGGTCGGGGAAGCCAACATTACTGACGAGTGCCTGCCCCAGGTGCCCTGCCGTGCCCCTCTCGGGCTGAGGGAGGGCTGGAAGGACGTGAGCCTGGACCATGAACGGAGACTCTTGGTGGCCCAGTCCAGGCAGGGATGCTTTATTCAGCCTTATCGATTTTGTGCCAAAAAAATCAGTACATGCTCCAGATAGAGAAGCATTCTCAATTGTTCTCAATTTGTAAACTAATTGGTAGATTAGTCAGTGTCATCTCTGCCTTCCCATCAGTGTTATGAGCAGAAGACTCCCAGGGGAGTTAATTACTTGCCAAACGTGGCCTTTCTGCCTTCCCTGGATACGCCCGGAGCCTCTTCTTAGAAAGGGTCTCAGCTCCAGGGTAGGCAGAGAGTTTGGAGTTTTCTCCCTTCTGTCTTTAAGTCTAGCCAGGGTTTCTCCCTTTGGGCAAAGCCTGAGCCATGATCATGTCTCTGCTTCCTCCCAAAGAACCCTTCCGTGATGTCACTCAACCCCATCCGAGGGCCTGAGTCTGGAGGCACCATGGTGACCATCACGGGCCACTATCTCGGGTCTGGAAGCAGCGTGGCCGTTTATCTGGGCAACCAGACCTGCGAGTTCTACGGGTGAGAGGGGCTTGGAGGAGCTCTGAGACTGTACGTATGCAGGCTGTGCACACATATATGCACATGCATGTGCGTGTTCACATATATGCCTGCCCCACCATCTCCATGGTACGCTTCACATCCTAGCCCCAAACCCTGTTCCAGTCGCTGTGAGAAATGCCTGCCAGTAGTCAGTTTGTATCGCATCATAAGGGCTAAATTGTCCTACGAACACTTGGAAGTGAGGACCAGGAGACCTGCTCCTGAGGAGGGCTGCCAGGAGTGCTCAGTCACCATCAGGATGGAGTGTTCTTTAGGTCCCCACCGTGGTGACTCCAGAAGCGTGGCCTCTGTCCCCACGCCACGCACAAGACGCCTCCTTGGGGCATCTCGCGTGTGTTAAAATTGAAACCTACGATTTGGCAGGTATTCCAATGAGACACTGGGGGTGTAGAGAATCCAGAGAGAATTCTGAAGGGATCCCTAGATGGGAACCCAACTTGCTCAACAACATGCTGCTTGGATCATACACTGCCTGAGGCCAAGGACTGTTTCCTGTTTTCACTTATCTGCGTCATAGATACTCCATGTATCAGCTGATCGACCAGACTCCAAGCACTGGCTAAATAGTCCTGTTTTAGAAAAATCCAGAAAAACAGGAGTTCCCTCAGAGCCCAAGGAGCCCTGCCCCTGCCCCACCTCCTCTAACCCCCTTCTCCAGTTGGCTGCCTCCCTAACCCGACCAGAGTTGGAGCTCAGGTAGAAAGAGACACTGATGCACGCTGCTAAGGTATGTTCCCCAGCCTGGAGTAGAACAGGAAGACGAACCCCCCCCCCCTCGACTGGGGGAAAGCCCCTTCTCAGGCCAGAGGCCACCCCGCTTGCCTCGGCTCCTGAGCCTCCTGCGGTCTGCCTGCAGGCGGTCCATGAACGAGATCGTGTGCGTCTCACCCCCGTCGTCCAACGGGCTGGGGCCGGTCCCCGTCTCCGTGAGCGTCGACCGGGCCCGCGTGGACAACAACCTGCAGTTCGAGTACATCGATGACCCCCGTGTGCAGCGCGTCGAGCCGGAGTGGAGCATCGCCAGGTGAGGCAGCCACGCCCGGGCCCCTTCCACCCAGCGCGGCTCCCCGAGCCCGCGGGGAGCGTGGGGGCGGCTGGGGAGGGCTGCCGCCTCACCCAGCCTCTGCTTCTTCCCAGCGGCCACACGCCCCTGACCATCACGGGCTTCAACCTGGATGCCATTCAGGAACCAAGGATCCGCGTCAAGTTTAATGGCAAAGAATCTGTCAACGTGAGTACTGGCGCGTCCACCCGGGCCTCAGGGAGCGCGGCCGTGGGTGCGTTCGGCAAGGTGACGGGTCTGTGTTAGCACTGGGGCCTTCCACTGCCGGAGCCGAATCCGCAATCATGTCCGCAAACATCGCGCGTCGTGCAGTGCTCTTTATAATTACAGCATGACCGTTTATCGTCCGAAGGTCACGACTCTGTGGGCTGCAAGGGCACGTGACTCCTTATCCCAGCGTGGCTTCTGAGCCTCAGATATGGTGCCAAAGGGCTCCTGCTTTCTGCCACGTTCCCTTTGAGGTCTGATAAGAGGAGTATGAGAGGGTGAAGAAATTCTGGCTGCCGATTCAGATGTTTTCGAATTACAAATAGGACGCTGCCATCTATTAGCTGTACACCCGTGATAAAGTCATTTAACCTCTCTGATCCTCCCTTCCCCGGCTAGAAATGCTGATGATAAGACTCCTCGTGGATCTGTAACGTGCAACGAGGCTGACACTTGATAAACGCTAGTCACTGCATGCAGATAATTCCATCCTGGTTGCTAAGATGATCAAGCTGAACATTTCACTTCACTCTCCTGGGCAGAGCCATGTAATTTAATTTTTTTTTCCCCACTGTGGATTTTTGTGATGTTAAAAAAGTTCTCTCTCGTAAGAGCAGAATGTCTGCAATGTTGTTATAAATTTTTTAGTTTGTTCTGCTGGCTCCATCTTTCTCTTTTCAGTCAATATGCTCTGAAACGTTATTGTATTCATAATTACAGTCCAGGAGATGCTGTTATGGCCATCATTTTTCACATGAGTTACTATTATTACTGCTTTGACCTTCTGGAGATTGACGAGGCTGAGATGGAGATGGAGAAGGTGGCGTTGGATCGACCCTCTTTTTCCTGACACATTCCCAGCATGCTTGAGGCTTCCCTGGGAAACACAGAAATACACAAAATGACAGACTGCCAGAAGGCTAGATCTGGAAAGGTCTCAGAGATCATCTGGTCCAAACTTCTCCTTGTGTAGCTTAGAAAATAGGGCCAGAAGGGAGTAATGACTTGCCCCCAGACATGAAGGTGGCAGGTGACGGGGCCAAGCTCAGTCCCCAGCCTCTGAGTCTTCGTAGCTAGACTATGTGAGATGCTGGTGGGCTTGATGCGCCACCATGCCAGAGACGTGGGACACCAGTGTATCACCCCTAGCGCCCCCTGTGGTAACAGCTCCGTGGGCTAGAGAGCACGTGACTCATGTCACAGTGGAGAGCTTGATACCTGAGCGAAGGGACTGTGTCCCCGCTCCACTTCCAGACTGAGGCCACAGCCCTCCTCCACCTGCCTGCCGTCTCTAGGAACTGGCCAGCCTGGGGAGGGGGCACAGTCCCTCCAGGGTCAGCAAGACCCCAGAGGTCAAAGCAGCAGAATACAGAAAATAAAAGACACAGTTGGTCTAGTACAAAGGGGATGTTGTAGGATGAGTCCATGACCTATCATGAAGGCCAACCTCCAAGGCTGCATCGTTAGTCCCCAGGAAGCTATTGAAGGGAAGATGGAGCTGGGAAGGGCCGCCAACAGCTGACACCCTTCTGCGAATGCTTGGGTCTTGGCTGCCCTCCCCAGGACGCTCTGGCAGGAATTTCCCCAGCAGTTCCCCCCCCCACCCCCCAGGACCTCAGTGCTTCAGGGAGTTAAGAAGGAGAGTCCAGGGGCCCCGAGCGCCCGCAGTGACCTGCCTGGCGTCTGCGGGCTGCAGCCTAGAGGAAGGGCCTGGGGGTGCATGTCTCCAGCAAGCCAGGCCCGGGAGGGCCTTCCCTTTCAGGGGTGCTGGGAGAGAACCGGGTGTCCCCTCAGCCCTGCCTGGAGCCCACCTCACCCTCAGGCCCTGGCACTAACCCCTGCCTCTGGGTTTGGAAGCAGCCCCGGGGGAAGGGCCAGAGAGCAGGCCGCCAAACCCGAAGGAATGTTTGGCACAGTGCCGATGCAGCACCGGGCAGGGAGCAAACAGAGGCCGTTTGTCTGGGGGTGAATTGCCCAATCCCAAAAGAACCCCCGCCAGGGGCACCGGAGCGAGCAGAGAGGAGACGGGGCAGGCAGGGCGGCAGCGCTCAGGCTGGGGGTCTGTCCCATGGAGCCCGGGGTGGGACCCCCAGCTCAGCTCCGCCCGTTTGACAGCACCTCTGTTTCCCCCCTGCCAGGGTGTCTCCAGCTGGCATGTGAAAGGGACACTGGGTTCATAGGGGGCTGCTGAGGGGGCCTGCAAAAGGCAGGCTGGGTGCTGCTGTCTGACGGCACGGAGCCCTCCCGAACTGTTTGGTTTAAACTCTTCAGCTCCCCGTGGGAAGGGAGGGTTAAGGCTTGGAGCGCTGACATCATCTCCATGCAAGTGTCCGCTTTTTATGCCGTCTCACACACCGTCTTGTTTTCCGAACGTGAAGCCCAGGCTTGTGTATGTTGGCCGGACACACAACACGTGTGGAGCTGCCAGGACAGCGCGTACTTGAGCAGGGTTCCCACACATGCCCCTGGCGGTTGCTGGGACACCGAGCCTCCCACAGCCCCAGCAGCTGCAAAGGGCGGGACGGGAGGAGTGGGGAGGGTTCCAGGCTGTGCACGGGCCCCGGGGCAGGGTCTCCAGTCGGGCTGCTGCCTGGGTAGCCCCCAGACCAGCCAGGAGAGGAGGGCCAGCTCAGCGAGCTGTTAGCTGGAGACCAGGGTCCCCCAGGAGGAAAGGACATTGTGAACTCAGGGGCGATGCCACGGTCACACCTCCGTGGACGGCGAAGGGACCCTCGGAGAAGGGAGAGACCTTGACTAGGACATTTAAGGAGGTGAAGGGTCTTTTTCATCCATCACTGTGGTCAGTAAACACTAACTGAACACCTAGTATGTACTCATCTCACACAGCGTCCCCCATCCCGTCATACACACACACATGGACACATACACACACATACATAGACAGAGATACACACACATACACACATACATATACACCGACACACATACACACAGACATATACACCACACACACGGACACATGCACACACATACATAGACACAGATACACACACATATTCATACACATACACACATACATAGACACATACACACACACATATACACACACGGGCACACATACACACACATACACACATGTATATACACATACGGACACATACACACAGACACAGATACACAGACATACCACACACGTATACATGCATACACACATATACACACACACACACACGGGCATACACATGCATAGACACACACACGGACACATACACATACATAGACACAGATACACACATACACACATATGTGCGCACACATACACACACATACATAGACACACATACACATATACACGCAGGACACGGCTTCTGTTCTTATCTTTTCCTCAGATGTTCATGCTCCCTCATTCCCAGGCCTTTGCTACTGTTTTTCTCTGCCTGGAACTTGATCCTTTACCATCCCCCATGNACACATATACACGCAGGACACGGCTTCTGTTCTTATCTTTTCCTCAGATGTTCATGCTCCCTCATTCCCAGGCCTTTGCTACTGTTTTTCTCTGCCTGGAACTTGATCCTTTACCATCCCCCATGTCTGGGCAAGTCCTACACATTCTGCAGGTTAAATTTCATTCATTTTTTCCAAAGGAAGGCTCCCGTGAGTCACCCTCACCCTGCCTCAGGCCACGCGCATGCGCACGCACACACAAGCACCCCTAGAGTGCCGGGACTCCCCCGTCCGGGCCTTTCTCACTCCATCCGTGCCTTTAGCAGTGCCGCGGCCACTCCTGGGCCCCAGGCCCTCTGCTGGGACCACACTGTGATGCTGGGCAGACCCTTGTCTCCGCCCTGGACGGGGGCCGCCTCACTGATGGCCCAGCTCCTGGGCACAGTGCCTGGCACAGCGTAGGCGCTCACTCAGTGTGGGCGAATGAAGAAGTGAAGTTACAACACACCCCTGCCCCTATACACACACACAAAAACAAGACCAACCACAGCAAAAATACAATGTCACAGCTCTTCTCCCGAAGCAAGCAGCTGGCTGGAGATGAGCCAGACGAAGCAGAGGGTGGGACAACGGCAGCGTGACCCCGCAGTGTCGCCGCTGGGAGCTGGAACTCTGCACTCTGGGCCCCGTAGGTGTGCAAAGTTGTGAACACCACCACCCTGACCTGCCTGGCACCCTCGCTGACCACGGACTATCGGCCCGGCCTGGACACCGTGGAGCGGCCAGACGAGTTTGGATTTGTCTTTAACAACGTCCAGTCCTTGCTGATTTACAACGACACCAAGTTCATCTACTACCCCAACCCGACCTTTGAACTGCTCAGCCCTACTGGAGTCTTGGACCAAAAGCCAGGATCCCCCATCATTCTGAAGGTAGGAGCACAGGGAGGCCAGACCACCCCTCTCCCCCCCCGGCCTCGTCTCCCTCCAGTGCACACAGGCTTGCATCGCTGTCAGCGCCCTGTGAAGGGAGCTCAGCGATAGACACAGACCCACTGAGTGACATTATCTTGAGCTTGGGATTCTCAAGGAGCCCTGGAATATTTCTGTGTTCTTGTGGACATTGGGCCCAAAAAGTCTTGCAGTGCGTTGGAAGCAACCATCTCCTTTATTGACCTCATCCATGGCCACCATAACTGCCCTCAAATATGAGGAGGTCACAGTCCCCGGATGCCTTCTGTCCAAGGGTGTGTGACTCCACCGCTTTCATTTCCCGGCCCTGTAGCCTCCCCTGGAACTGTTTGCTGTTTGCCCGCTCCTTCCTCTGTTTACCACTGTCTCCTTGCCTTTCATTCTCTCCTCCCTTTCTTTTCTCTTTTCCTCTCTAAATTGTGGCCGTTGGACGTCCTCTCCGATGGAATCCCTCTTTGGCTTTTGCATTGCTGCCCTTACCCTCTCTCTTTAATCTCTTCTTAAATAGGCAATTAACTTCTGTGTGCATGTGTCAATTATTCCTAATAAGATTGCTATTATCTGCAGGGCAAAAATCTTTGCCCTCCTGCCTCTGGAGGTGCCAAACTCAACTACACAGTGCTGATTGGGGAGACCCCGTGTGCTGTCACCGTGTCCGAGACGCAGCTCCTCTGCGAGCCTCCCAACCTCACGGGGCAGCACAAGGTCATGGTGAGTGAACCTTCCTCTTATTCTTTCTTCCCTCTTCACCTTGCATGGATAATCTACTGTAGCAAAAGGGTTTTCGACCTCCTCCATGTGTCCTCATCTCAAGGTTCTATATTAAAATGGGTAGGAGCAGAGAACACAAGAAAAGAAAGGCAGGCGGTCAGCAGGAAGTTGTTTGGTCTTCAGACTGCACTGTGTGGTTGTGATTGCCCCTGTCCTTTCTGAAACAAGAAGGACCGGACGGCCCGACAGCGTCTGTGTGCTTGTGTCCACGTCCAGGTCCACGTGGGCGGGATGGTGTTCTCTCCCGGCTCCGTGAGTGTCATCTCGGACAGCTTGCTGACCCTGCCCGCCATCGTGAGCATCGCGGCGGGCGGCAGCCTCCTGCTCATCATTGTCATCATCGTGCTCATTGCCTACAAGCGCAAGTCTCGAGAGAACGACCTCACTCTCAAGCGGCTCCAAATGCAGATGGACAACCTGGAGTCCCGCGTGGCCCTGGAGTGTAAGGAAGGTAAGTGGGGCCGTTCCTTTGCTTCCAGAACTGTTTTCCTCACCAGCCTTATTCCCTTCCTTCTCTGAGACACCTCTCATCTTTCCTCCCTTCTCGTCCACCCCAAGCCATCAAGCTCCGTTTTGACCTCTGTTTTCCTTTGAACGTCCTTTGCTCTCGGGGCCAGAGAAGTCCTATTGCAATGCACGTAGGGAGGCCCCAGGTCTGACCACATTATTCTGTCGCGCTGTGCCCTGACTCGTCCCACAATCTGGCCACCTTCCTCTCTTTCCTGAGGCAGCGGGTGGCACTCAGTGTCCCCACGGGCAGAACCTCCTGGGCCCTGCAGCCTCGGATTCTAGAGCCCCACAAGGCAATGGCTCCTTGCGCCTGGCCGCCCTCGGAGCAGCAGAAAAGGCAGGCGAGCCCCTGCCCGTCCCCTCCCCCAGGGCGCTGTCCCCCCGTGCTACAGGCTGAGCCTCTGAAGGCCAGGCGCAGGGCATCACAGAGCATGACAGTGGAGACTGTGCTTCCTCTGTCTCCCAGGCCACCGCTGCTGCCAGCTGACCAGTGTACCTGGTGTCCCCTCGGGCTGAGGACCCGGCAGACTCTGGGTAAACATCTCAGTTAGGAATCAGAACACTCCTCCTTTTACGGCAAGCTTCAAGATCAGAACAAGGCCCCTGTGGGATGACAGGGAGGAGCTGGGCTGGGAAAGTGGACCCTGGCTCCTCCCTCTGCCAGGGCTGGGGTGGAGCGAGGAGGGCCATCAGGGGGAAGCCCCTGCTGGCCAAGGGCCTGGCAGGCAGGGCGCCCTAAGGCTGGGCTTGGTGGCATTCTCAGTTGTGTGTGTGTGTGTGTGTGAAAATATATATAACATGCAATTTACCATTTAACTTTCTAATCTCTATACCCTAGTGCTCTCCTCTCCAGTTCAGAGGCATTGCATGCATGTATGTGTGCAAGCAAGTGTGCATGCTCAGTCACTTGAGTTGTGTCTAACTCTTTGCGACCCCAGGGAATGCAGCCCACCAGGCTCCTCTGTCCATGGGATTCTCCAGGCAAAAATACTGCAGTGGGTTGTCATTTCCTCCTCCAGGGGATCTTCCCAAGCCAGGGATTGAACCCAGGGATATCTTATGTCTCCAGTGGCAGGTGGGTTCTTTACCACTAGTCCCACCTGGGAAACTCCTCAAAGGTATTAAGCACATTCAGAATATTGTGCGACCCTACCCACCATCCATCTCCAGACCTCCATCACTGTCCCCAACTGAATCTCTGTACCCATGAAACAATCGTTCCTCTTCCTCCTCTCCCTTTGGCCCTTCTACTTTCTGTCCCCAGGACTCTGGCTGCTCTGGGCACGTCATGTAGACGGCATCATACAGGATTTGTCCTTTTGTGTCTAGTTTATTTCACTTGGCATCATGTCTTCAAGGTTCATCCATCTTGTAGCACGTGACAGAATTTCATTCCTTGTTAAGGTTGGATAATTGTTCATTAGGTGTATAAACCACATTTTGTTGATCAGCTTATCTGTTAATGGCCATTTGGGTTGTTTCCACCCTTTGGTATCATGAATAATGCTGCTATGAACGTGAGTGTACAAGTATCTATTCAAGTCCCTGCTTTCAGTTCTTGTGGGCATATATGTCGGAGAGGAATTGCTGGGTCATGGGATAAAAATTCTATGTTTAACTTTTTGAGGAATCATCAATTTTGTTTCCAGAGAAGCGGTGCCAGTTTACATTTCCTCCAACAAGATACTAAGGTTTGAATTTTCCCACATCCTTGTCAGCACTTATTCTTTTCTGTTATTTACATTAGCCTTGCTAATGGGTGGAGCTTCCCCGATGACACTAGTCTCAAAGAACCCGCCTGCCAATGCAGGAGACATAAGAGATGCAGGTTCAACCCCCAGTTGGGAAGATCCCTTGGAGACAGGCACAGCAAGCCACTCCGGTCTTCATGCCTGGGAAATCCTATGAACAGCAGGCTCTGGTGGGCTGTAATCCGTAGGGTCACAAAGAGTCGGACATGACCAAAGTGACTTTGCACGCATACACACTAATAGGTATGAAGTGGTATCTCCTGGTGGTTTTGATTTTCATTTTCCCCCACTGTCTTTGCATCTTGATTTATTCTTTTGCTGGGAATAGGGGAGCAAAGCAGCCTATTCAGCTCTTTGTTTGATCTGCTCAACCAGTCTCCACCTATCTCTGGCATCTGCGTCACCTGTATGACCCAAGTCACGTGGGCTTCCTTTGCTTTAGCAGCACATGTAATACATAGAAAGAAAATTCAAAATCATAGATAAGCACAGAGGAAGAAACGGGCTTCCCTGGGGGCTCAGCAGTAAAGAATCCACCTGCAGAGATGCAGTTTCAATCCCTGGGTTGAGGAGGTTCCCCAGGAGAAGAGAATGGCAACCCACTCCAGTATTCCTGCCTGGGAAATCCCATGGACAGAGGAGCCTGGTGGGCTGCAGTCCGTGGGGTTGCAAAAGAGTCAGACACGACTTTGCGACTAAAGACACACACACACAGAGGAGGAAACAGTATAGAAATCACCTGTATTCCCACCACCTAAGAAAGCAGTCTGGAGCTATCTCACTCCCTCTGGAGGTGCACACCTGTAACCCCACACACGCCCCATCTCTGCACCCCAGCCCCTCCCTCCTCCTTCACAAACGTCTCTGCCTCTCCCCTCCCCTGTCTGTTGCCCTCCTGACTCTCCCTGTCTCCTCTGTACCTTCCCAGCTTTTGCCGAGCTCCAGACAGACATCAACGAGCTGACCAGTGACCTGGACCGCTCAGGAATCCCCTACCTCGACTATCGGACCTATGCTATGCGCGTCCTGTTCCCGGGCATCGAGGACCATCCCGTCCTGCGTGAGCTGGAGGTAACACCTGCCTCCCTCGCCCAGCTGCCCACTGGGGACCTGGGGCCTAGGTTTCCTGGGAAATGCCCCGTAGCTAGGAGGGTCAGGAGTGAGGAGCAGAAATCGCCTGTAGAAGCACCAGCACCACAGGGACATTTCTGAACAGGAAACTCACGGCCAAGGGGGCACCCAGGTTCTTCAGGATGATTCCAGGGGAAGGCTGGCTGTCGTTCTTTAATTAATAACTGAATTAATTAAGATTCGGCCTCATTTCCAAATGGATTTGAGGTGGCTTGAGGAAAGACCCATGATTCTGTGAGGCTTGCCCATTCATTTCTCTGTTTGTTTTACGAAAGATAGTACATTAGGGCAGAGCAGATGGAGGGGAGGGGAGTAAACCCAGCTAGTCTGATGGGGTAGCCCCTGTTGTGTTGGATCCTTGGCGCAATCGGATGTATAGCATCCTCTCTGGAGTCCAACCCTCTGAACCCACCAGGAGGTCAGAGCAGACCGCAGACCTCAGAGACCAGCCATTCCTACCTCTCCAGGGTGGGGTGGCTATCGGTCTCATGGAGAGAGTCCTCGAGCTGGTGTCGTCATCAGCTGAGACACCGCCCCCGGCTCCCGGGAGGGCGGGAAGCCCGTCCTCTGAGGCCATGCCCGCCCCCGCCCCCAGGTGCAGGGCAACGGGCAGCAGCACGTGGAGAAGGCCCTGAAGCTCTTCGCGCAGCTCATCAACAACAAGGTGTTCCTGCTGACCTTCATCCGCACCCTGGAGCTTCAGCGTAGCTTCTCCATGCGGGACCGCGGCAACGTGGCCTCGCTCATCATGACGGGCCTGCAGGGCCGCCTGGAGTATGCCACCGACGTGCTCAAGCAGCTGCTGTCCGACCTCATCGACAAGAACCTGGAAAACAAGAACCACCCCAAGCTGCTGCTCCGGAGGTCAGACCTGCGCCCCGGGGCTGGGGAGGCAGCCGGCGTCTGAACCGGACATGGTTCGGGGTGGGGCTGGGAGGCAGCCGGCATCTGAACCAGACGTGGTGGGGGGCAGCGCCCCTCCCCAGGAAAGCCTGTGTCCCTGCAGCGTCCAGTGCAGAGTCTCACCTTCCCTTCCCTGGGCATCTGGGCCGTATCCGCAGGTGCTGGATATCCAGTGCATCTCAGCCTGGATCCCAGCACCGGCCACTGGCTCGTCATGAGGCCTGGGACCAGTGGTGCAGCGTCTGTGCTATTTAGCCCCCTCATGGACAAAATGACACTCATCACCAAGTCATTCTCCCTCCCCCTGTATCTCAAGTTTCACTGTCCAATGCCGTAGCATATGTGGCCATTCATTAAAATGAGATAAAATGTGAGATTCAGTCCCTCCATTGCGCTAGCCACATCCCGAGGGCTCGGGCCCCGCAAGTGGCCACCGTGTTGGAAACGCAGCAGAGGCTGTTCTCATCCCAGGGGAAGTTCTACCTTCAGCACCCAGCTAAGGATTTGGTGCGGCCTGTGCCTTCAATGCCCAGCTTCCGGCATCTGAATCACCAGCACCTACCACCAGCCCCTCCCCAGTTGCCATTTTCCTGGTAGGGAAGAGGGTCAGAGACCTTGATATCAATCCCCCGAGCCCACGGTCTCTGGAGGCCCCGGGGATCCAGCACAGTTTTGGAACCACCTCCACGTCACCGCCTCCTCCATAGCCTTCTCCTAGCAAGGTCTCAGGCTTCCAGACCCCACGTGGGGTGAGGGGGTAGGAAGAGTGGCTTTGTGTTATGAATACAGAGCCCCCATTCTGCCAATCTGAGCATTAGAAACTCTCATTAAGAACTGTTGTATTTAAATTAGAGCTAATCTCAGGCACAATGCAGGGTGAGGGGCTGGGAGGAGCCTGGGGAGAAAGCTACAATTTCTTCTGCCTTTGTCACTCTCTGCCAGGCCCGGGGTTGCTGAGCCACCCTGGCAAATGCCTGGGATTTACTTCGACTAGAGGGTATAATTTGCACCACGTGCAGGGAGTTAAAGTCCTCCTCCAGCATCCTCATCCCTGAGGGTCTGTCAGAGCCGCTTTGTTCCTTCCCACATCCCCTGGGATGGGCGTGGGGGGTGGGGAGGGGCGGCAACGCAAAGGGGCAAGGCTTACAGAAGCAGATCCCCTGTTAGCTCAGTGCTTATGCACACGGTTCTCTATGTGAGGGGCCAGATCCAGACCCCTTGTGTCAGCAGTGATGACAGCTCCCGGTCTAGGCACTCTTAGCACTTTTTGTATATTGACTCATTCAACCTTGACAACAACCCTGTGGGATATGATGACGACAGTGGTGGTGGTGATTATTATTAATTGTGGTTGTTATTATTATGATTAATTCCCCATTTAGAAATGGGGAAACTGAATCCAGAGAAAGGGAAACGACTTACTCGAGATCACAGAGCCCGTCCATGGCAGAGTCGAGATTTGAACTCAGTCTGAGTCTGAGTGTTTGGAGGGGCAAGTATCAGGGGCCTTCTAGACATGCATATAAAGTATTCAGACCAGGCAGGAAACCTCAGAGGGACCAAGAAACTGTATGTATCCCCCTGAGGCCAGAAGAGGGCTGGAGGATGGTGTCCTTGGCACCTGCGTCTGTAGACCCAGAGTGCCACTCCATTTTCCCAGGAAATTGAGGCTCAGAAAGCAGAAGCCTCTGGCCCAAGGCCTCGTGTCTTGCTACTGGGGTGAAGTCGGGACAGGACGCAGCGTCCTGGCTCCCAGCCCTGGGTTCGCTTGGGCCATAGTCCACCCAAAGAGCCAGGCACCCTCTTGGCGAGCCCTCCATAAAGGACTGCCGCTCATCCCCTCTCCCTCCCCAGGACAGAGTCTGTGGCGGAGAAAATGCTGACCAATTGGTTTGCCTTCCTCCTGCACAAGTTCCTGAAGGTGAGAATGGGGGTGGGTTGGGGACTGGAGGTGAGAGTGGGATGGGGGAGCTGCTCCTCTGAGCCTGGCCTTCAGGGCTGCATGGATGTCCCGCCCGCCTCCCCGTTTGCAGCAGGAACCTACCTGGCCAGGTGCCCCCAAACCACGCGGGCCTAGGAGCAGGGTCAGGAGAGGGAGGGAGGGAGGAGGGAGGCTGGGGCCCCGCCACCCACACCCACCCATGCCCGCAGGAGTGCGCCGGGGAGCCTCTGTTCATGCTTTACTGCGCCATCAAGCAGCAGATGGAGAAGGGCCCCATCGACGCCATCACGGGCGAGGCGCGCTACTCGCTGAGCGAGGACAAGCTCATCCGGCAGCAGATCGACTACAAGACCCTGGTGAGGAGGCGGGGAGCCCGGCGGGACAGCACGGACCTCCTGCTTCTGAACCCCACCCCAGTCTCTGGTGACAAAGCCAGCCTGAGGGCTCAGCAGCGAGGCCGGGAGACCCGCCTGGGGCCAGTGCGGGCCCAGGGTCCCAAGGGTGTGCACGCCAGCCTGGGCTCCTCTTCCCCCATCTCATTGGGTGGACCCAAAGAGCTCAGATTGCCTCAGCTTACCCTAGATCACCCAGCATCGGGCCTGGGGAAGTTGGCATGATGGGGAAGAAGTGTGCTGATTTCTAGTGTAGAGACTTCAGGAAGGCGGGAGGTCAGCCCACCTGGAGCCACCAGGTTTAGCCTTAAAGGTTTAGCCTTAGGATGCCTGGACCCGGGATGGCAGCCTCCCCTAAGCCATCCGGGGCTACTGGGTGGAGTCCTGGTTCTTTGAGAAGTAGAGGGGTGGGCAGAGGACTCAGGTTGCCATCGGCAGATGGCTAGAAGGCGGGGAAACTGAGACGCAGACAGAGAGATGCTCATTTCTCCTGTGAGGCGGAGGAGGAGCCTGGGTAAGAGAAGGTCCCGGGGCCGCACTCCCCACCCTCAAATGACATCTTCAACTCACATCCCCCTCAATCCCCACCTGCAGATTCTGAACTGCGTCAACCCTGACAATGAGAACAGCCCGGAGATCCCAGTGAAGGTGTTAAACTGTGACACCATCACACAGGTCAAGGAGAAGATCCTCGACGCAGTCTACAAGAACGTGCCCTACTCCCAGCGGCCCAGGGCTGTGGACATGGACTTGGGTAGGAGCCCTGGCCTTGGCGGTGCCGGGGCAGACTCCTGAGGGCGCTGGGGCTGAGGGGCCGGGCTGGGAAGATGGGACACCCTGCCCAGCGGATGGCCCTTACTGGGGGCCTGGGTGGGTCCCCCCACCCAGGTGTGGGGCCGGGTGAAACACTTCTCCCAGGGCACTGCCTGCTCAGACGCGGCCACCTCTCGCAGCGTTGCCCCCACGGAGCCCTGGACTTCTTAAGTCAGCACATTGTCAGCACTTTGTCATTGTGCTTGCGGAGCCGGGTTCGCCAGGCCCCCAGAGAACGCCCAGTGGGGCGGTCCCGGCCCCTGCCCCTCACACTGCTGCCCGCCCCCTCCTCCCAGAGTGGCGGCAAGGCCGGATCGCCAGGGTCGTGCTGCAGGATGAGGACATCACGACCAAGATCGAGGGCGACTGGAAGAGGCTGAACACGCTCGTGCACTATCAGGTGAGGGGCCTTTGCACCAGGGGCCCGGGCCCTCCCGAAGTGCCCCTCCCGCTAAGGTTCGTTCTGAGGTCCGGAAAGAGTGTTCCTGTCGCCCCCATCAGCCGGGGAGTCCCTGGTAGCTCAGCTGGTAAAGAATCCGCCTGCAGTGTGGGGCACCCTGGTTCAGTTCCTGGGTCGGGAAGACCCCTTGGAGAAGGGATGGGCTGCCCACTCTAATATTCCTGGACTTCCCTGTTGGCTCAGCTGGTGAAGAATCCACTTGCTAGGCAGGAGATCTGGGTTCAATTCCTGGGTCGGGAAGATCTCCCGGAGAAAGGAACAGGTACCCACTCCAGAATTCTTGTCTGGAGAATCCCATGGACTGTAGGAGCCGCGACATCCCACGGGATCATAAAAAGTCAGACACGAGTGAGCGACTAAGCGCAGCACAGCACATCTCCCCCAACTCCTCCCTGAGTCCAGAGCGGTGATTCTCAGCCCTGGCTGCTGATTAGAATTACTGAGGGACGTAAAAGCACGAGTGTCCAGACTCATCCTGAGAAACGGACTTAAGTGGTCTGGAGTCCGGTGGGACCTTCCCATCCCATACAGAGTGTAACTCTTCTCATGCAGAAAAATCGCATCTTTCAAGAACGGTTCAGAGGTGTCTGCCACTGTCTCTGACTTCTGACTAATGTGGCTTACCTTCCACTTCGCGCCTGCAACGAAGCAGGGAATTGAGTCAGTTTCTGCCGCTTACCAGCTGGTGTCCTTGGGGAAGCTGCTTAAGCTCTTGCTCTTCTCATCTGTAAAATGGAGTTAATGGTGATCCCTGCCCGATGAAGTGGTGAATAGACTGAATACAGTAGGTAGAGCGTTCAGCGCACCGGCAGACAACACTAAAAGAACAGTCAAAAAAGAAAAATCCCAGCAAAAGAGCAAAAGATGCGAGAGTATCAACTCTCACTCTGCTTGCTTTGCAGGGTAACCGCTCACAGCTGGGGTCTCTGTAAGATTAAGCACAGGTAGGCTGCTTGGGATTCGAAAAAAATACTAAAATAGAAGTTGGAAAGGAGAGTCAGTGAGGGAAATTAAGCCAACCAGAGGAAGCGCCTTGGGCTGCAGGAGCCTGTGGGACTGCTTGATTAATAACATCGCCCTCTGTCCCTGCCTCGTGCAGGGACATGGCATGCTGGGCGCTCACGCACTGAGGTGCCAAGAGCCGGGAGGCTGGGGGTCCTGAAGGCCAGCAGGACCTGGCTGGGAGCCTCTCGGCGCACACAGAAAGCTGGGGGCAGAAACCCCAAAACAGCCCCTTCCAGGCTCCATCCTCCTGACTTGCATTCGCCATGCTGACACTTGGCCTGGACCCCCATCCTAAATGGAGAGCCTTTGGTATAGGGGGAAGAGAAAAGGATTGGTGAGCGCCATTTAAACCCCTGCTTCCCCACTCACCGGTGACGCGACTTTAATCTCCCTGAACCCTGAGCTCTTCATGAGTAAATGGAGACACAGTCCCGAATTGCGAATGTGGTTGGGAGCGTTAGAAACCACAGATGAGGTTTACCAGGATGTATGGACCTCTCCATAGTAGCCATGATCACGCTGTTGATCCTGCCCCACCCCCGCTTCACACTGTGCTGAATGCATCCTGCAAGCACAGTTGTAATGAACCAATTAGAACCGAAGAAGAAAGTGCAAAAGAAAAGAGCATTATGCCCCCAATTTATGTTTCTCGAGGGCAGCGATGGCGCTGCTCTTCTGTCTTTGGTGCCCTGATGCTTATTAGTGGGCTGTCTGTCCTATGACTCCCAATCAGAAGAACGGAATATTCTTTACTTACAGTGTTCATCACACAGAGCACTTTCAATTCCCCGATGCCATTTATCATTCATGTATTCATTCATTCCTCAAATATTTACTGAGATTTACTTTTTGTGCGAGGTACTTCCCACATGCTAGCCCTGAGTGACAGGGGACAACAGAGATTATTCTTCCCTTTGACAGATGACGATGATGGTGGTCATGGTGATGGTGATGATGGTGGTGATGATGATGATAGGGATGATGTGGTGACAATGGTGGTGATGGTGAAGATGATAGTGATGATGGTGATGATGTGATGATGGTGGTAGTGGTGGTGATGGTGAAGATGTGATGATTATGGTGATGATGAAGAAGATAGTGATTATGGTGAAGATGATGGTGATGATGGTGATAATGTGATGATGGTGGTGATGGTGAAGATGATGGTAAAGATGGTGATGATGTGATTATGGTAGTGATGGTGAAGATTATGGTGATGATGGTGATGGTGGTGATAGTTATGATGTGATGATGATGGTGATGATGTGATGTGATGATGATGGTGGTGATGGTGAAGATGATGGTGATGATGTGATGATGATAGTGGTGATGATGGTGATGATGTGATGGTGATGTTGGTGATGGTGAAGATGACGGTGATGATGGTGGTGATGTAATGGTGATAGTGGTGATGATGATGGTGAAGACAGTAATGATGTGATGATGGTGGTGGTGATGTGATGATGATGGTGATGATGTTGAAGATGATGATGATGATGGTGATGATATTCATAGTAACAACAGTAACCCCAGCATTTACTGAGTCTCATTGGGCACTGATCTCCACCTTTACTCACTCTAACACCTTTAATCTTCACAACAAACCCAGACACAATTATTATCCCTTTTGACAAATGAGACAATTGAGACACAGAGAGCTTAAGTGACTTTCCCAAAGCCATGTTGCTAGTAAGTGCAGAGACAAGGTCAGACCCGACCAGTCATTTTGGTCACGGCCTTGCATCATGTGTTGGTCAAGAGAAAAACTGGACACTAAGGACAGGAGAGATTTAGTGATGAGACCGGGAGCTGAGTTGAACTGTGGTCGTTCCAGTCACCTTGTGAATCTCTCTTTAGGTGACAACAAGCCATAAATGATAACACAATCCATTCTCCCTGGGAGAAAATAAACCCTTAACCCTGCCAGGCATTCAGGTATCATTTCTAGGATGCTAGTTGCAGAGTTCCTGAAAGACTGAGGTGGCGAGTTCCTCCTCCATGTCAGTCCTGGTGCAAGCTGCCCGCAGTCCACAGAGCGGCCCCCGCTGGGAGGTAACGATGCCTTGGCATCTTCCAGGCACCGTGAAGAGCCCTGGACCCTGCAGCTTTATGCCATCAAGTCAAAGCGTTACCCTCTTCTTACCCTCCCAGGAGTCAAAGGTCCTTGGAGCCCCCACAGGAGAAAAACCTGCACAACCTTAATTAACAAAGAGATTTTTAAACACTTCCTGGGCTCCTGCAGATTTATAGGGAGGGTGAAATTAAACACCACCGCTAAAACTGGCTATCAGGGAATCTCGTTAGCACTAATGTTCATTTATAGTTTGACTTCCCAACATTTAATTCTTTTTTGGTGGGAGAGAGGGACTGACAATTTAAGACCCAGAAAGATGGTTTTACGACTGGTGCAGCTATAAATCAAACTTATAAAGTTCATAAAAATTGTTAAAATAAAAAATGGTTTAATAGGAATGTTTTATGGTCCATAACATTATTATAGCTGTTTTATTCCCTCTGCGTTAGGGGTTTAATTGGATCGCCACGATTCTGGGGATTCTCGGTTTTTATTGGGTGGAGGCTAATCTTAAATCAAAATGGCCCCAAATGTCTTCAATATGGCGCCTCATTTATCAGCCTTCGCCCTGCAGGCTGGGTGCTGAGCCTCAGCCCCCTCACAGAGGACACGCAGACACCTTCTTTCTCTCTTGAGTCCCCAGGAGCGGCTGCCCTCTGGGGAAGCTCCTCAAGGTGGCCGAACCGTTTTAGGGCCCAGGCCAAAAGGAAATCAGGGCCAAAGGGAAAAATGGGCTCCAGACCAGGGTGTCTTGAAATAAAATCCCGAATTAGAATGCGATGAGAAGAACATGTGCGGTGGAACCCGACAGCCTGGTGACCAGCTTCGGCTCTATCGTATGCGAAGCGTGTGACCTTGAAGGCGGAGGCCCAGCCGCTCAGGGCTTCGGTTCCTCCTCTGTAAAATGGGGACAGTCATACGTAACTCACGGAACTGAAGGCCGGCTGGGCTACCCCAGCTCCCTCTAACAGAAACACAAGGCAAACCACCTGGATAACTTTACATTTTTTCACTAGTCACATTTAAAAAGTAAAGATGAACAGATGAACGTAATGTTACCAGTGTTGTCTCTAACACCACTGATCTAAAATAATTGTCACTGAAACACGTAATCAACGTCAGCGTTATTAATGAGGCAGTCTGTACACCTTTATTCAGGCTCCGTCATTGAAATTCGTGTGTCTTGTACATTTATAGCATACCTGAGCGCGAACACTTACAGGGCATCTCACTTTGGTCTAGTCCTATTGTAAGAATCCAACAGCTACCATACTGAGTAGGAGCAATGATTATTCCTAGCATTCCTCACCGCCTCACCCTCTACCCTACCTGTTCCATCAGCTTCTAGAAGCATCGACAGTTCCATTTCCCAAGGAACCGACAGCCACCCGCAGTGTCTCTCTCGTGTCCCCTCAGGTGTCAGACAGATCGGTGGTGGCCCTGGTCCCCAAGCAGACCTCCTCCTACAACATCCCTGCCTCCGCCAGCATCTCCCGGACGTCCATCAGCAGATACGGTGAGGAACGGAGGTGCAGCCTGGGCGGCCAGCGGCGTCTCCTGTGACTCCAGGGGCGGCTCCCCACCCCTGCTGACTGTGGGAGGCCAGCCGCAGCAGCGGCACAGGCAGTCACAGGAGGCCGGGACGGCCCGTCTCCTCGGGGCTATGGCCCCAGGCAGCACCATGAATCTTTCCTTCAATAGCCCAGGTCTGATGGAGGAGTCGGAAGGGCCCAGAACCAGGGAGGCCCTTGGGGGGGACGTTTACAGAACCCAGTCCCAGTGTATGCTTACTGTCCTGACTGAATCATTAACAACATCCCCCTTTAGCCCCCGGTGATACGGACCAAATAACTTCCCTGGTGGCGCAGACGGTAAAGAATCTGCCCGCAATGCGGGAGACCCAGGTTCGATTCCCTGGGTCTGGAAGATCCCCTGGAGAAGGAAATGGCAACCCGCTCCAGTATTCTTGCCTGGAGAATCCCGTGGACAGAGGAGCCTGGGGGGGTGTGGGGACTACAGTCTATGGGGTCGCAAAGAGTCGGGCACAGAGTCGGGCACGACTGAGTGACTGACGCTTTCGCTTCACTTTCCCTCTGGCTCTCAGTAGTACCCCGATGTGGGCCACCCCCTCGGTTGGCCGCCCCAGCCCTTCCGCCCCTGCGTGCTGGGCCCCCGGTGCCCTCTGGGAATGAGGTTGAGGAGTTTCAGGTTCTCGTGCTGTTTCCTCTAGTTCTGGGCGGCGCTCGGCTTCGAGCGGTCCAGCCAAAGGATCTCTCAGGCCTGAAGCCAGCAGCTGCAGGAGGGGCTCAAGCAGCTCTGTATTCCGGGCCCTAAGTAAGAAGGAGCCTTGACTCCCGAGGAGGAGCTTTTCCGTTCACAGACCCTTAGAGTCCACACTTGAAGCAAAGCCGCTGTGAGAATATCTGGTTGGCATTCCACCTATTGATTGGTCTTTGCTGGAAGCATCAGGGAAGGATGTACTCCTGTATTCCCCAGGGCGACTCCAGCTCACAGAATTTCTAGATCCTTATTTTGGCAAAATGATTTCAGGGTGTCCTCACACCAGCCAAGGATCCCTAAAATAACCCGCCAAATCTGAAACCCCAAGGGCGCTCCCTTCCGATGGAAACCGGCTTGTTCTTAGCGAGGGCAGCAGGTGGGCGGGGATACTAGGAGGATTCTCCCGGCAAGGATGAGGAAACAGTCACTCACAGGCCTCCGCCGCCCCCTTCCCCTCAGACTCCTCCTTCAGATACACAGGCAGCCCCGACAGCCTGCGGTCTCGGGCCCCCATGATCACCCCGGACCTGGAGAGCGGGGTCAAGGTGTGGCATCTGGTGAAGAACCACGACCACGGGGACCAGAAGGAGGGGGACCGGGGCAGCAAGATGGTGTCTGAGATCTACCTGACCCGGCTGCTGGCCACCAAGGTAACAGCCCTGCTCCGCCCCGGCCCAGGGACGGCACCTCGGAGGTGCGTCCTGCCCCAGCCCCTACCCGGCCCGCGGCATGGGAAGGATGCCACGGGGGCTGCCCCTCAAGGGGACCCACCCGGACAAGGAGGGCCTCGTCCTGGGGCACGCTTCCCTGGAGAGCAGGCCACCACTGTCCTCTACCCTGCAGCAAAAATCACAGTGATCCACCCGGCTCACTCCATAGGCCCCCCATTACTCCTCAGAGGACCAGTGCTCTGGCTTCTGGCTCCCCATGCCCCTCAGGAAGATACTGGGGCTTTTATTGGTAAATATGGGATGGCTAGATATGCCGTCTTCCTCCATCAGTGCCTTCTCTGCCCACACTGGGGGGAAAAGCATGAAGGCCTGGTCCGTCTGGTAATCTAAGAGAAAGGTTCCCCTTCCCCGTTCCATCACGTGCATGCGTGCTAAGTCACTTCAGTCAGGTCCAACTCTTTGCAACTCCATGGGCTGTAGCTCTCCAGGCTCCTCTGTCCATGGGACTCTCCAGGCAAGAATACTGGAGTGGGCTGCCATTCCCTCCTCCAGGGGGTCTTCCTGACCAGGGATCAATCCCATATCTCTTGAGTCTCTTGCATTGGCAGGTGAGTTCTCTACCACTAGCCACCTGGGAAGCCATCTCATCTACCTCCCCAAATGCTGACAGAAGTTGAGATCTAAAGCAGTCTTCCAGCCTCCCTAGCAGAGAACAGTATACCTATAAGCATAACAACCATATATAGCTTGTATTTGACAGGACTCTCCTCCACTGATCCCATAGAAATGCTGCTGAAATTCTAATACAGTGGCATCTCAGACTTGTTCCCTGAAGCGTCACAGAAATACACCATCAGAAAATGTGTCTCAAATTTTGATTCGAATAATATGCTGATAAGAGACCAGACTTCCCAAGTGACTCAGTGGTAAAGAATCCATCTGCCAGATCAGGAGCTGCAGGAGATGTGGCTTTTATCCCTGGGTGGGGAAGATCCCTAGGAGGAGGGCATGGCAACCCACTTCAGTGTTCTTGCCTGGAGATCCCACAGACAGACAGAGGGGCCTGGTGGGTTATAGCGCTCGGGGTTGCAAAGAGTTGGACACAACTTGGCAACTACTTGCTCACAAAGAGACACCAAAAGGTTGGACATTTACTGACCTTCAGAGATATTTCTTGAACCTGCGAACTGTGGGCCCCAGGCCCAGCCTGGGCCCTGCCCCCACCCGATACCCTCCAAGGCCCCGTGATCAGGGCTGTGCCTGAGCCTTCCAGGATCTGTGCCCTTCGCCCAGTCCTCCGTGCAGACCCCACTTATCCCAGGCTGCTAACACGGTGAGCCCTTTCACACCTTCCTGCCAGACGCTCTGCGGTCCTCCCCTGCCCCTGCTGGGAGGGCCCCAGTCCTCTGGCTGGTTCTTTAGACGCCCTCTCACACCAGCCTGTGCCCCTCACCCGCTGTGGGACGCCTGAGCTCAGAGCACTTGCTGTCTTCCATCAAACTCCCCCTGCCCACGCCCACCAGGCAGGGACAAAAGCGTAAATGTGCATGTGGCTCCCGCTTGGAGGAGCTTCTTCCCGGAAATCTGCGGCCCATCAGTCCTTCCCACCTCCCCGACACCCCAACAGGACCCTCCCCCCCCAACCGTGCTGTCTGCACAGCCTGGCATCGCAGACAGACTTCCGAGGCAGGCTCGGTCCAAGCAAGGCACCACCTGGCCCGTGCGCCTGCTGCCGCCCCACTGCCCGCGCCTCACCCTCTCCCACCGCCCCTCCCCCAGGGCACCCTGCAGAAGTTCGTGGACGACTTGTTCGAGACCCTGTTCAGCACGGTGCACCGGGGCAGTGCGCTCCCCCTGGCCATCAAGTACATGTTTGACTTCCTGGACGAGCAGGCGGACAGACACAGCATCCACGACACGGACGTGCGGCACACCTGGAAGAGCAACTGGTAAACCCTGGGCAGCCCAGGGCGGGGCGTGGGGGCCAGCAGGGGCCAGGGAGGCGGGGCAGGAGCCTGTTCTCGGCCGCAGCTGGGTCACCCGAGGCTCCTAGGACAAACAGACACTCGGCAGAGCCGACGTGGCCCCCAGGCGGGGCCCGCCCGGCACAGGGCCCAGCCCCAGGACACAGGCACACTCGCGCTCCCGCCCTTTCAGGCCGAGATCCTCCCCCAGGCCGCGCCTCCTCCTCCTGTCTGACCTGTGGTTCTCGGGAAAGGCAGCCGGGGAACCCATACACAGAGCCACATCCTAGACCACCCGAGCAACAGGCCAGGCCGTGCGGGCCTCCCGAGCACAGCGGAGTCTCGGGCGCGTCCTGACACGGCGAGAGCCCTGCACTAAACTCAGACCCCAGGGAAGCCTGGCCAGTGCTGGGGAGAGCTTGCACTTGCCGTGGACTTGAGCCCCCCAACGAGAGGAGGCCGTTGCACACACGACCCCTTACGGCCGCGTGATTACCCGGGCACCTCGGCTCTCAGGGAAGCCGCAGGCAGGAGGTCCCGCGGGCCTGACTCCGTCCCTGGGGCGGCCCTCCGCGGGCAGACCCAGCAGGGGGAGAGACGGCTTCCCCGGGCCCTTCGCACAAGACGTCTCTCTGCTGGGTTTTGAACCTGGATCACAGACCACGCTGAAGATGGGCCCTCAGGTCCCACCGGGCCTGCCCAAGAGCCGGAGCACAGACCTTCCCCTAGGAAGGAGCGCAGAAAGGGCAGAGAGGAGGCCAGGCCTGGAGTTGGGCAGGCCGCCCACACAGCTGTCTGGACTCAGCCCTCTCCTCGGAAAACAGAGCCGGCACAGATGGGCCCCGGCTGTTATTTAGGAATCCAAAGTCTTAGCAACCAGCCAAACACTGGGGGGAGAACCCGGCCCCAGACCCCACCTATTCCTCCCTTTCCGGGGTCTTGTGGCTGCCAAGCCCTCCAGAGGCCGCAGCTTTTGATCACAGCGGAGCGAAACGAAGAGGCTCTGGTGGTCTCGGGGTGTGGAGCCCCCCAGGGCAGGTCCCTGAGACCGGCCTTTCGTCCGCATTCCCAGGGCCCGGGCCGCAGCTGTTCCATGGCTTTGGAGCTCCCCCGCACCGCCACCCCCAGCCCGGCCCAGCGTGATTTCAAGGACATCAAGAGAAAGTTCTGGAGTGTCCTCCTCTCTGTTCCTTCTGTTTCTGGCCAAGTCATAGAAACACCCTCCCCTGGGGTTGTGGCGGGGAGAGTCCCCTTAGCCAGACCTCAAATACCCAGTGTCCAAGGAGAGAACACTGGAAGTTTCCAGAGCTGCCAGGGGAAGGGAAGGTGGGCCAGAGGAGCCACGTCTCCGCCCAGGCCACCTCCAGGTTAAATGAAAGAGCCCCCAATTCACTGCACAGATAGGTGGAAATCCTAATGGAAGGCCTTGCCTCTGGGCAAAACTGATCTTTCCCAACACTTGGCATGGGGCGTGGAGACATTTGGGAAAGTCTAGGTCCAGGAGAGTCAAGAGACAGGAAGGAGAGAGGGAGAGGAGGTCGGCCCAGAGGACAAGAGGCAGACAGAGCTCATTGCACCAAGGAGCCCAAAGAGTTAAGGGCCGGCGGGCGGCTGGAGAGGAGGGCCAAGTTGGAAAAGGCCACAGAAACAGCAGCTGTTCTGGTTTTGAAGGGGAATAAATGGGCTTATCCTCCTCACGGCCAAGGGAGCAGAGAAAACGCATTCTCCTCCGATTATAAATTCCCCGAGTCACAGAAAGAATTCTCCTAACAACTGATGAGTTGCTCTCGGGGTGGGAAAAACTCGGAGCCCCAGCGAGTCATTCCCAGCGTGCCAACAATGGCCTCCTCTTCTGCCTCTGCCCCTGCCCAGAGCCGAGAACGCCCTGGGGAGCGCCCTGAAAGAGCTGCCCCCAGGGGAGCCCATTCCTCCGCCCAGCCAGGCAGGGCCAGCCCTGGGAAGCGGCCGGCTGGCCCAGCTGGGCGGGGAACCCAGGTGGGGCCTTTGTGCCCACTCCGAGGCTGGGGCTGCCGCCCCGTCCTTCCCGACAATGGCCGCGGGCACCAGGAAGGGGCCTCTGGGAGCCTGCGGGCTTTGTCTGAGGCTCTGAGAAAGCGCTGCAGGCCCTCTGGGCTTGGGTTCCCCCGGGGGCACAGGGGTCTTTGGCAAAGACCTCCAGGAGGGAGCCAAGCCGCCCACGCCCGCCTCGGAGCTGTTGAAGGACGAGGTCAGTGCCCCGTTAGGGCACAGTGGGGCTCCTTCTCTTCCAGTGTCAGTCAAAGCTCAGGCTAAATTAGCAGCCCTGGCTGGACCGGTTTTCTGTGATTCCATTCCCTCACCCTTCGGAGAAAATTGTGCACTGGTGGGGTTGGGAGGAACATTAGTGGATGGCACGGGGCCGGGCCCGGATGCAACCCTCAGAGACCCCTCTGCCCTCTCCTCCAGCCTCCCTCTGCGCTTCTGGGTGAACGTGATCAAGAACCCCCAGTTTGTGTTTGACATCCACAAGGGCAGCATCACGGACGCCTGCCTCTCCGTGGTGGCCCAGACCTTCATGGACTCTTGCTCGACCTCAGAGCACCGGCTGGGCAAGGACTCCCCTTCCAACAAGCTGCTCTATGCCAAGGACATCCCCAGCTACAAGAGCTGGGTGGAGAGGTCAGTAGCATCCTGAGGACCAGCCCAGCCCCCAGTACCTGCTTCATTCCCTCCTCTGGGCACCACTGACCAAGGACTCAAAGCCATGCTTGTGGTCCCTTCCAGATCTCAAGCTCATCTTTTTCTCCCTTGCCTAGAATTCCTGCTGGGGGAGGAAAGGGGAGCTTGGCACCCTGAGTCCGATTTAGCATTCTGATCACCCTTTACCGAGCACATGCTAAGCAGCCAGCACTTTGATGAAGACATTGTATGTATCGTCTTACTAAAATACCCAGCAGAGCTGTGAAGTAGGCCTTATTGGCATCCCCTTTTCACTGAGGAGGCCACTGAAGCAGAGATGCCAAGTGACTTACCCAAGGACACACAGCTAGCAGGGCGCTGAACTGGAATGTGAATACTGAGAGTCTGGTCACAGCACTGCAGACTCTGGGCTGAGGGAGAACAAGTCTCCAGGCCCCAAACTCAGCTTGAGAGCAGAGGCTAGAGCAAGCTTCATTAGAAGAGAAACAGGGAAGCAGCCTGGGTACACCCATCCTCTCCAGGGTCCTGGGGTCAGAGTACGGATAGGCGAGCCTTTGCTGAGCCCCTCACCAAGGAGCCTGTCCTCTCTCCGGCAGATACTATGCAGACATCGCCAAGCTCCCCGCCATCAGCGACCAGGACATGAACGCCTACCTCGCCGAGCAGTCCCGCCTGCATGCCGTGGAGTTCAACATGCTGAGTGCCCTCAATGAGATCTACTCGTACGTCAGCAAGTACAGTGAAGAGGTGAGGCAGAAACCCACACCGAGGGGCCCCACAGGTCAGCCAGAAAGCCGGGTTCCATCCGCAAGCAGCAGCAGTGGATGGTAATCCCGAAAACACTCAGAGTCAAAAAGTCACCCGCTCTTCCTTTGGAAGGCAACCTATCCTCTCCCACTTCATCCTGTGCTTTCTTACACCTTGTGTTGTATCGTCTTTGTTGTTAATGCAATACGTAGTACTTTTGTTGAATGTTGTCATTGTTGCCCAGTTCAAAGTAGATGATGAATTTCATCCCTTCTGAAACAGCAGATCAGACTATTCTTTGCAGTTGGGCAGAAGCTGTCAGCTGAACTATTTCAGACAGACAGGTGGACATGGCTAGATCCTGAAGAGAATGACTTCAGGACAACAAGTCATGTATCAGTGACGTATCTGAAAACAGTAATAGTAGTGGTAGTCATAGTAATAGCCAACACCTACACAGCACTTCCTGTATGCCAAATGTTTTAAAAGCTTTAGATAAATACATGCACACACACACATACGTATATCATACACCTGTCCAGGTAATCATCTGCATTGTTTAGAGTTGTGTCCGTTGGGCAGGGTGGAAAGGCAGATGGAAGGATGAAGGGTGTGGGGAAAGCAGTCTGCATGCTGAGCGCTGAGCCTGCCCCACCGTTGTTTTCGTCCCTCAGCTCATCGGGGCGCTGGAGCAGGACGAGCAGGCGCGGCGCCAGCGGCTGGCGTACAAGGTGGAGCAGCTCATCCATGCCATGTCCATTGAGAGCTGAGAGGTGGAGCCTCCCATTCCTGGGAAGAGGGACCCACAAACGCTGTCACACTGGGCGTCTCAGAAGGAAGGACAAGTGAAGGGGGTCAGGCCCCAGAACTTGCTGTCCCCTGAGACCCTAACCCTGGGGAGAGGGGAGGGCCCCTCTCCCCACGCCAGCCAAGTTTCATCCCAGCTGGTCCCTGCAGGGAGAGACCAGGGGCATCACACCCACGACAAGAGGGACGCAGGGGCACGGAGAAGGTGGTTCTTCAAGCTGAGAGGCGCATCTGGATACGGTTCTGCCTCTGTGACTGCTGCTTTGCATGAAAACTCATTTGATGTATATTGGGGAAATAATGAGAACTTTATTTAATTTTTTTTTTTTAAGAAAAAGGAAAACCAGAAATAAAACAAAAGCCTCCCTGGTCATCCCGTCCAACTTTGGTTTAATTCTGCTTTCTGTCCCCCTTCCTTCTTTTGCCCCCGTCCCTCCTTCCTCACACAACTCCTGGTTCCCAACAACTGGAAAAAAAGCCTACAAAAAGATGCTGAGAGAAAATTACTGTTTCCTTGCCCTTGAAATCTTTGTCTAAGGAGTGAGGAGGAGAAGAATGAGCACAAGTTGACACCAAACAGTCCGAAGGAAGACAGGCCAATGAAGTCAGAAGAGGTGGGGAAGGTGGGACTTGCACAAACGGGAGAGCCACTGGGCTCCACCCTGCTGAGCTTTACATCCGCGCATCCGTACGTTCTCTTCTCCAGTGGACGTGTGTGTCTCAAGAGCACTGAGGCTTCTTGCTCCTGTTTGGTTGGTTTCTTTAAACCCAAACCTCAACAAGCAAGGAGCTGATTTTGGTACTTTTCCTTTGGGTTTCCCTACAGTGACTACCAGACATGAGAGCTGGGCCTCTCCCAGAGGGGACACCTGGTCTCCTGAAGGACCCTGGGCAGCTCTGCCTTATATCCATCCCCATCGTAAACCAGGCTCCCCGGGGGCAGGGCCCTGGAGGATCTCGGGCCAGGCCTCCAGAGGTTCCGTTCGGGATCCGACTGGGGGACATGGGCTTTCAGACTCTGCTCCAGTCTGCCCATGGTTTCTTACGATTAAAAAGAAAACAAAATTCAAACACTTGTTTACAGCAAGCAATACTTGAAGAGCATAGGTTCAAGAAGCTGCAGTATTTATTGTTGTGCTTTCTTTGTTTTATTCTCTCGTGCCTAGAGAAGGGAGACGACCCTTCACTCGTGTGTGGATGCTCCTGATGGTCTGAGCACGGGCCACAGTAGAGAGGACTGTAGCATCCCCAGGCTGCGTCTTCTGCCTCCCTCCCTCCCTCTGCCTCTCGCGTCCTCATGAGTTCGAAGGACAAGTGGGTGGCTTCTCACTGGGCTTCTGTCTTTCCTGCTGACACCTAAATCCGTGGATGCCCAGCCGTCTTGAGTGTAGTTTCCAGACAAAGAGACCAAAGCTCCATGCCCTGATCCAGAGGCCGCGTGGAAGGCAGTGGGGGCATCCGGGGGAAGGACCGCCCCCACCAACACTGGTGCAGGGCCCTGTGATCGGACCACCAGCTTCCAGGCCTCCCACCCTGGCGCGGATCCAAGCAGCCAGCTCCAAGTTCTCTGCAGGCAGCCGCGGAGGGAGTGGGAAGGACAAGAGGAAGGCGAGGTATGGGAAGAGAGGCCGCTGGAGAGGCCCCGTCTGCCCTGCCCTGCGAGGGGCTGCAGTGCTGGGGGTGGGCGCGGGGAGAGAGCAGACCAGGGTCACTTCCTCTGTAATTAGCTCTGGGCCCTGGCTCCTCTGGGCCCGGATTTACCCCCAGACCCTTCCAGTTTCCAGAGACACTGCTGACCGCACTGCATTGCCAGGAAGGGGCTGGGGGAGGGGGAGCTCAGAAGGCTGGCTCCCACGGCTGGCGTGTGGCTTTGGATCGGCTGGCGTGTGGCTTTGGATCGTCATGCTCACCGCGCAGCAGACATCACCGGGTTGCCTCAGCTCCGGTTTCTTGCCTGAATGCGGCTGACAAATGGGACAAGAAAAGCTTCAGCAAAATACTCAGGAAATGCGCTGTTTTCATTATAATTCACAACCAGCCATGCCAGGACCGCTTCCTTCTGATAATCCACTTCTGCTAAAAGTTTCTCTGGGCCCTGCTAATAGCTGAAAGAAATCCTAATGACTGGCCTTCTGCACTAAGCCAAAGTGTTTGCCCTTCGTAGCACCCAAAGCTTATCAGCTCAGAGCCCAAGATGTAAGATGAAAGGCGAGGAGATACTGGCAAGGGGAGCGTGAGCGGGGGGCTCTGTGCTGCCCACAGAAGAGTTCAGCCCCTCCCCTCATTTGCTTCTGAGCTCCGAATGAAGGTGGTCCGGTCACACCGCTGCTTAGACCGGCACCTCGGGCTTTGCTCCACCAAGAAGTAAAAGCTAGACATCTCAGCTGCGTCATGACCAATCCTGACCTCTGTGCGTCTACCCACTGTTTCCCAGCAGCTACCTTTGGTGACCACTCACCACCCCTGGGGCTGCGTCCTTGATGGTCTTGCGGGGAGTGGGAGAATGGTAGGGGGATGGCCACTCAGAGAGTGGACAGGAGAGGCACCAGAGCTCACACGAGAGGTTCCACCGCCTTTCTCAGGATTCCTCAGGAGGACTGGGGAAGGGGGGCTGGCGAAGGAGGTGGCAGGAGGCATCCCTAAAGAAGGAAGGAAGATCAAGGAAAACTACACAGGATTCAAGTCAGGCCGTGAGGATGAAAGGTTGGAGAGCCTTGCTTGGCTTTGGGTCACCAAGAGTCCATGCCCTGCGGGATGGGAGGAGAGAGCCTCCCTCCTCACCGCCATCCAATGCGGAGACATGCTAACCTCGTGTAAGGAATAAGTGTTCAAGTCACAGCCTCTGCCTCCACACAAAGCCATCCATCTTGGAGGGAAGCTGAGAGAGCCTGCTGTCTCTGAAAGTTTGATCCAGATCCATCTTGTTTCACTGAAGTGCGCAAGAGACAGTTAACCAGAAAAGGGCAAGCACCCTAGAAAATGCGCTTGACAAGACAGAGGGTGTCCACGCTCGCCACGAGATGGGCGAGCTGCCCTGAGCCCCTCCAGCTGGCCTGCTGCCGCCTCCCAACCTCCTCAGGGGCTCTGGGGCTTCCAGGCCTACCCCCCACTCCTGTCACCCTGCTCCGGCCCAACTCAGAACCATCTCTGATCCAGTTCTGGCAGAGCGCTCCCCATCCTCGGAAAGTTCAGTCATTGAAAGCAAGGAGCCCCTGGGAGCCTCACTCGTGGGATGGAGCTGTTTCCTGCATGCATTCATTCATTCAGAGAGCATTCCTAAGCTAAGGCTGTTCCCTAGGCCCTGCTCCAGGTGCTGAGGAATGATCGAGACTGAGAAGGACCTCCTTCTAACACACGGACATTCTTCCACTTGCTGGCTCCTAGCACCACCTCAGCCCTCCTCCCAGACCTGCAGAGGGCACGCGTTTTGGAGGAAAGGGGAGCGGGAAGGTGGAAGAAAGCCGACTGACCCAGCTGCCTTACCTGCTTCCGGGGACAGTCCTCCAGTCACAAGGGCCTTTCTTGTCCCCACCATTGCCATCTCTTCTGGTGGCCCTCTGCCTACCGCTTGAGCTCCTGACCTTCCTCCATTTCCGCCAAATGAGGACAAGAAATAATAGTCAAGCCCTCTGGCCCTGCTGAGCACGAAGCAGAAGCAATGGATGGGGTGGGCTGGACTGCGATGGTCTGGGCAGCACAAATAAAGAATGTTTCTAGAAGCCTCTGGCTGATCAGCCTCCAGGCGCATCCTGGTTGCCACACCTGCCCCCACTCAGTTCAGTTCAGTCGCTCAGTCGTGGCCGATTCTCGCAACCCCATGGACCACAGCACGCCGGGCCTCCCTGTCCATCACCAACTCCCAGAGTTTGCGCAAACTCATGTCCATCAAGTCGGTGATGCCATCCAGCCATCTCATTCTCTGTCGTCCCTTTCTCCCGCCTTCAGTCTGTTAACCCTTCTCCCGCCTTCAGTCTGTTAACCCGCGGCAAATACTGAGCCGGCAGCTGCCCCAGAGGGGGGCCCACTGTTCCTTGCCACGCTGTGTCCTGACTCAGGCTCCTGGGGCCTGGCCTTGGACGGGAAAGAACTGAGACTCAGGAGAGGGAGCTCTGTGGGTGAGAGGAGTTTGGCGGACCCGGGCCGCTGGAAGTGGACCCCGTGGGTTCAGGGCCTTCTGGTGCCTCGTCTCAGGAAGAAGCTTTGAGAAGGTGGCAGCATCCTCTTCGTCACCCCGCCTGTCTTCCCCAACCTCTTCCCTTTCTGCCCGTTTCCCCAAGAGTGAAGGTGTAGCCTCTGGGGCCCACGATGTCATGGATGAGAGATGAGTTTCACCCCTGGTATTAGGGAGCTCCTGGGAGACAGGGCCTTAGCCCGTCAGCAAACTGGAGAGTGAGTCTTGGTGGACATGCTCACTGCATTCCCCTCTGCCCTCTGCGCTGCGGCCTCAAGGGGAAGGGAGGCCCATCCGGATTTCGGTCACAGCCCTGACTCTGGCCTCCTGTGCGCTCCATGTCGGCATCACGGCAGGAGAACGTGCTGGAACGTGGTTCCCCCTACAGAGCAGATGTGTCAGGGACGGGGGGACAAGCTCTTTAGACCACGAGACTAGGGACCTGAGCCCGCCTGCCTCTCCCCTCAACTGCTCCTTCCCAAACCCACTCTTCTTGAGACACTGGAATCTGTATTATATATATATATATATTTTTAAGAAAATAGAATAATAGCTGTCTGGTTTTGTTGTTTTTACAGGTGTTGTGGAATAAAAGCTGTAAGAAAATTACGTATTTAAAATGTTCCAATAAAATGGGGTTTTTTGTTACTCTAATATATTATTGTGTACCTATTGTAAATATGAAACACTCCTATTTTGCAAGCCAAGGACACAATTTGTACTGTTGTTATATATAAATAAAGTTTACTGGATAAAAACCTTATATCTTCAAAGAAACGTGGTTGTTTGGTAGCATGTATGCAGAATAACGTTTCAAGGGCATATTTAAGTTGCTCGTGGGAAGATGAGCTAAGTTGTTTTGAGGGACTCCTAGAATTCTCTCTGGAGCTGGAGCTTATGAATGTCCAGTTCAATGTCAACACACACACACACACACACACACACACACACACACTCTGGATTGTACCCATAGGTGAACACTGCCCCCTAGCCCCAAGACCCAGAACATTGCTTTTCTCCATCAAGAGGCTGACAGTGCAGATCTGAGATTGAGATACTTTCCTAGTGGTGAAAGAGATCTCCAAAGGAGGAAATCCACCCGCAGTGCTTCCTGAAAATTGCATTCATTTCTTTGTATTAAACATTTTAAGCACCTACCATAGCCCGGCATTGTGGTAAGTGCTGGGGGATGAAACATGAAATGAGAAAGACATAACCTTTGCCCTCATCAGCCTAAGAATCATAAGGATTCCTAAAAAGGAGGGTCTCAGCAGGGCCATGGAGGAATTTTATGGGCTGTTTTTTTTTTTTTATTCTCAGTTGCAGGATTAAGAGTGGATCAAGGGAAAGAAGACAGATAACGTATACTTTTAGATCCAGCCCAGGGGAGCGGCCTGGGGTTAAAGCAGTTCAGGCTGGCGTGGAGTCCAGAGGCAAAGAGGCCTACAGGTAGGCAACTGACGTTTGGCCTGTCCTGAGGGTGCCCTGTCCCATCCACCTCTTTCCCTATTTTGCTTTCTCGTGTTCCAGAGTGTGTGGGTGACACTTCCACTCTCAGCTGCTAAAAGGAGCAGATGAGGATAACTCGTCAATTTGACATCTCAACTGAGCATGCCAGGAAACCACCGCTCTCCCCCGCCACGAGATCGGAACTGTGTCTGGGCCCACAGCCTCACCCCCAGCACCAAGAGGGGAGGATCTTTAAGGATAAGACACAGCCCTCACCTTCAGAGAGTCTCCAATCTGATGGCAGAGACAGCCCCTGCCTTCAAGGTGACTCCAGCCAGACAGGGGAGACACAGACCCTGATCTCGGGGACAGCCCAGTTTTATACGGACAGACCACGCATGTACGAATGGGGCCCAGGAAATTTTGATTTCAAAAAATTTTTTTAAATGATTTCACAATGATTTTGAAAAACAAAATCATATCAACAAATGCATGTTGATAAATCTAGAGCATGCTAGAGTTATGGGATTATTGTAGATTCGGAGAGACAATTCCTATGAAGATATTTCAGTGCCTATTCTGCAGCCTCTGAGTTTAGGGGCTGCACACACACACACATGCACACACTCGCTCCTGGCTAGAGTGGAGAGATGCCAGTGCTGGTTCTGAGGGTGAGGAAATGCAAGCACAGCTGCCTGGAGAGCCGGGAGATCACGTCGCCCAGGCCTATGTGTAATTAGTGCATCGCTTTCAATTGCACGCAGGGTTTTGTTGTGAGTGCAGCAGGCTGTTTGGCTAATGTTAAACCATCCTCCGCTTCCCTTCTAAACGCAGACCTTGAGCGCTGGAGGCACTCTGCTTCACCGCACTGACAAAGCTATAATCCTTCCTCAGCAGAAGCACTGGCGCGGCCCCAGCCAGCTCCTGGAGGCTCGGCGGTGTGGGGCAGTTAGATGAGACCGCCTTCCGCCACTGCCGCCTGGGGACCCTGGGGTCCGCTGGGCTGGGATCCAGGCCCAGATGGGCTGGATGGAGGAGGCCATTTCTCTGCAAGGAGTCTTGTACCCCAGACTTTCTCCAATCTTCTTTCCACGCCACCCCCCATGTCTCCTCTCAGCAACTTGAACTTGAGGCACCGCTGTTATTAAATATCTGCTGCAGGAACTACTATCCTCAGGGAAAGAGGAAATCGTGGAGGAGGGAATCCACCAGGCATCTGTCTGTCCTGCTCACGGTTGTCCCAGGACAGAGCACAGGGCGCACCAGATGGACTTACAGCAGGTGCCCGATCAGAAAGTTCTGAATGATGAACGATGAAATGATAGGGTGCTGTGAACCACCTCCTTATTGCAGACACTGAAGCATCCTCTCTTTCAGGGTCGCTCAGTCTCCTGTGATAGGCAGATTCCATTTTTATAGTCTGAGGAGCAGAGAAGTTAAAGGATTTGTTTAAGGTCACACAGCTACTCTGCTCTTTCCACTGTACAACACTGCCTTCCATTCACTCTAGAACCATTTAATACTTGAGAGTCTTCCCAGGACTTGATCTGTGGCCTTGTAACAGGCAAGTGCTATGAACGCACTCTTCAGCATCCATTACTAGCCACAATTGCTCAATGCAATCCCTGTCCATCCATCACTTGTAGTGAGAACAACACTAAACCCTGCTCTGCTAGACAAAGGGGAACAAAACTAAGTCTTAAAGTTGCGACCTTTCTCAGATTTTGCAATCTAGTATCAACACTCATCACTATTCTAAGACAGAAAGACTCATCCTTTTTCTTAGTGGGAATTAGATCTCATTTTTACCACAAGTGCAAAATAAGGGTGTCAGCTGCAGCCCTAGGATTCTCAGAGAGCTGAGTCCTTTGGTTTGAGGGTAACCCTTCATGATAAGCCGCTCACAAGATTTTAGGAAAGTGGGCGCTGCTGGGGGTCTGTGCTTGATTAGGGCGACACCATGTGCTGCCAAATCTCCCTGCTCAGAGAGTGTCGGCTGCTAGGAACTGGGAGCTAAGTCCATGGCCCCCTGGTAGCACATGGGCAGGATTTTCTGCTTCCTATTATAATATTTATTTTATTCCTCACTTCTCTTTATGCCTCTAACTCTTTTGTTCCTCACTCTCCCCTCTTTTCTAATGGCAGGTTTTCATTTATCCCTGGCTAAGAGCACAGGCCTTGGATTCAGATTGCCTCGGGTTAAATTCCATTCCCAAGATGCATGACCCAGGGCAAGTCACATAGCCTTGCTGCATATCAGTTTTCAAATCTATAAAATGGGGATTATCTATATTAAATAAGGGTTTTGCAAAGGTTAAATAAGATAACGTATATAATGAACTCCATAAATATTGTAATAGGTAAATGAGAGAGAAAGAAAGAGAGAATTAACCATCCACCCTCCCTTCACAGGCAGTCCAGCAGGACCTACCGGAGGCTCTGAGGGTCTCTATCTGACTGTGGGAAGAAGCAGAATTAATGCTCATAGATTTCAGCAATAAAAGTTGGTGCCCAAGAGTAAAGCCCTTAGAAAACTAGGCATGGATGCTGACCAAGGAAAACAGGAGATGAATTAAGGCTTTATCCATAGGCAGAACCACTTAGGAGCCAGCCGGTAAATAAACTCCAGGTAAACGCAGAGGGGAAGAGGGGAATGGATCAAACCAAAAATGCATGTGCTAAATCCACAGACAGAGTCCACGTACCCACAAAGTCAGGAGATGGCTGCCAGAAAACCTCACTACGATCAGGGTCCAAAAGTGTCAGGGACTTCATAGGAATAGACACTCCGAGAGCCGAGGGCCGGACAACTCCCAGGCCCAAGGCAGGGGTAACAGAGAGGGGCAAGTAGGCTGGAAGCAGAGGGCGTTTCCAGGGACCAAGTCCCAGAGGAAGCGGAGGAGGAGAGGGAACGCAGCGCTCAGCAGACCTGGGGGGAGGGTCCCTCCTGTTTCCCCTCTGGATATCTGAGGACCTCCATCCCAGCTGGTTTCAGGTGAGTGTCTTATTCAAGGTTTTCCAGAGAACCAGAACTAGAGAAGGAAATGGCAACCCACTCCAGTGTTCTTGCCTGGAGAATCCCAGGGACAGGGGGGCCTGGTGGCTGCCGTCTATGGGGTCGCACACAGTTGGACACAAATGAAGTGACTTAGCAGCAGCAGCAGAACTAGACCAATGGGAAGTGTGTGTGTCTGATGGTGTGTGTATGGATAGGGAGGTAGATAGAGACAGAGAAATTCTAAGGAATCAGTTCACACGATTGTAGAAGCTGCCAAGTCTGAAATCTGCAGGGAAAGCTGGCAGGCTAGCAACTTCTGCAAGAGTTGATCCACGGTCTCAGGTCCAAAGGCAGAGGAAGCATTTCTTCTTCTCTGAGAAAACACAGTGTTGCTCTTAAGGCTTTCAACTGTTAGATGAGGCCCACCCGTACCACGGAGGATAGCCTGCTTTCTCAAAGTCTGCGATAGTAGATGCTGCTGTGGTTGTTGTTCAATCACCCAGTCGTGTCTGACTCTTTGCAGCTCATGGACTGCAGCATGCCGGGCCTCCCTGTCCCTCACCATCTCCCAAAGTTTACCCAAGTTCATGTTCATTGCATTGGTGATGCCATCCAGCTGCATATTAACCACATCTAAAACATAACTTTGCAGCAATGCCTAGAATGGTGTTTGACCAAACAACTGGGCACCACAGCCTAACTAAATTGACACCAAAAAATTCACCATCACAGTGAGGAAAAGACAGATCACCTACTATCAAACACTGAAGCTAAACTCAGTGCAAATGATCTGTAAATCCATCCACTTTGATGAGTGTTTTTTTTTTTTTTACTGTGGTAAAACATAAAAACATAAAAACATAAAATTTACCATCTTAACCATTTTTAAGTGTACCATTTAGTGCTATTCAATACATGCACATTGTTATGCAACCATCTGCATAAGTTTTTTCATCTTGTAAAACTGAAATGCTCTACCCATTAAACAATAACTTCCCATTTTCCCCTCCCCAACACAGCCCCTGACAAACACCCCCTCGGGTCATAAGCTGGCATTTAGTCCTTGCCCTCTGTACATGCCACCATCACCACTACTCATTGGATGGTTTAATGAGACCCTCGTATCAGCCCCACTTAAGAAAAAAATGACAGCTTCAGATTCAAGGAACTATGGAAACAGCAAGGGCCAAAGAAGGAGCCAACATAAGGATTAAGAAATCAGAGAGGGTACATTTGGAGTAGCAGAGAGCCACAGTAGAAGGAGCCTGAGTAATTCCTAACTTGAGCATGAAGAAGGCAGCTGCTTCATAGAGGTC